TGACTTTGTATCGCTCGAGTTGTGACGTCACTTAATATGTAAGCCTTTTCCTTAAGGTAAAATATGTTTAGATTTTATAAGGTGAATTTAGCTAATTAAAAATTACATGTATGTTCTATTCTGACGGATTGCATCACTTTTGTTGCGTGCTCTAGATTCAACCATCAGATTATACGCCCATTATAGACTGCCTTTATAGATAAAAAACATTTTTCCTAAGTGCTTTTAATCATAAATCAAGGAGCAAGTCACGGTTGCTATTTCAAGGTTAACAATGTTAGAGCGATTAGGTTTTATCCGTCCTCTTCTTCGGAAATATCGTGCTCAATCATAAATGAGCCGCGTCACGACAAAACCAACATAATGGGTTTGCGACCAGCAAGGATCCAGACCAACCTGCACATCCGCGCAGTCTGATCAGGATCCATACTGTTCGCTTACCAACTCTATTACAAGTAGAGAAACTGATAGCGAACAGCATGGATCCTGATCAGACTGCGCGGATGCGCAGGCTGGTCTGGATCCATGCTGGTCGCAAACGCACTATGTTGGTTTTGTCATGACGCGGCTCAAATATACATTATTTTGTAATACAATGAATGAAACATTCATTATTTCTTTAAATATATAAAGTTTAATTGATTCGGTATAGTTTTCATGCCGAAAGAAAATGTTCAATTAAATATGTAAGAAAACATACAATCATGCAGAAAAATACCAAGTATACATACCCATCTTTTTAAATGTCATCACAGGGTAATGAACATATTAAGACATGTACATGTATATATACGTCATGTATATACCAGCAGAAATAAATGTTTACTAGTATTTAATTCCCTGACACCGGCTAATATAAATTGTAACAAGTTTTCACCACCATACCAAGCTTTGACATAAAGAATACTGAAAAAATATTTATATATCTATTTATAATTTATTTATTTATTTATTTATTTATTCATTTATTTATTTATTCATTCATTTATTTAGTGGTGATACTACTAAAATAGATGCAGTAACAAAACAATGAAAAAGGAGATCCAATAAGAATAGAAAAAACAGAATTTGATAGTTTCAGTAAAAATATGTATTTTCTTACTTATCAGTACTGTACTTACAATAATAGCAAAAACGTGCTGTTTAAGATCTTAACCAGAGCAAGTATTTAACAACAGAGGGGAGCGGTGGCCTAGTGGCAAAGGTGTCGGCCTCGTAACCCAGCGATCACGGGTCCATTACATGAATAATCATACTAAATATCGTCTATAGCAATCAAAAGTTTGATTGATACGCTTCTATCAATTGCCATTTAGTATAGAGGGCATGGAATGCCAAAAAGTGTCAATGATAGTAAAGTAAACAAATAGGAAGAAAAACACTTATATGTGGCAAATGGATAGAAAAAACACTTATATGTGGCAAGACCTGACCCGGGGCCTTCAGATAAATCCAGTTATGACAACAGTACATGTTTTAGAAGAAGATCCGAATGTCACCAAATTACACCAATTTATGTTCAAGCGTAACCAACTCTGTTACGCCATTAGTCTGATTAGGATTTTCTTATTGTTCTATCTTTAGCCAGCCTATCAAAGTATCAGTTGCAGACAATCATATTTCGACATCATCACCTCTCTGGTAGTCAGATGATATTGCAAAGGTAAGTTTTATACTTTAGCATCGGCCTAGACCGGACACTCTTTGAAAAATTAGATTAATTGGTTAAATATATTTCAATTTCGATTGCGAAACAAGTTCTTGCAACTTATATTAATCACTTTAAAGTACCATCCAGTACTTGTGTCATTTGAAGAAACATGTTCGTGACCCGATGAGAGCTCAAACCAATGATCCCTGGGTTGAGAGGCAGACACCACAACCACAAGGTCATCGCTCCCCTTCAAGCTTTCGTCACACCATGACGTTTTGCTCAATGCTCTCTGAACGTTTCAATCTTTCAATTTTTGAACGTTCTTGAATGAAGTTGACATATCTAGCGTGCGTCTAACGCATAACTAGCGTGTGTCTAACGCACGGGAAACGTGTAACAGCGACCAAGTAAGATACGCCGAAAACCCATAATCGTGTGCTAACGTGCAACAGGCGCGGGACGAACTATTTGTCAACGCCTGACGATCGTTGTGAGCGTGTGACTAACGAGTTAATAACGACAGAATAGCGTCTTGATGGCGTGTTATTTTTACGACTTAAACGGCACAGAACGCTGGAAATTTCATAGTGAATTCAGTTGTTCTTGTGAGTTTGAATAGTTGACGTCAAGACAAAAAGAATAGGGTGAGGGCTCCTACCAGCTACATTTTGTATTTCCGAATCCTTGACGTCTTTATTTTCATAATTTAGTCCAACACTGTCGTCTTCGTCGAGGTCTTCTTTATGGAGGAGTGTCGGGTTCTTCTCTGCGGATGAATTTCCTCAATATGTTTAGATATGTTTAAGTTCAGTACATCTACTTGACGCTTGGCTAGAGCAAACATATAAGCCTACTCAATCTTTCAGGATCTTCCACAGTAGGTGTTCTCTACGATAACCCAAAATCAAATAACCTTGCTTTTCACATATGCATAGACGTTCGTGAAACGGTCAAATGACGCTCAAATGACGCTCAATGGACGCAAAAAAGGACGTTTGTTTACCTTTAGTCACAAGTGTGTGCGCTTGATGACCGTTCAGTGGTCATTGAAAGGTCGCCAGTGTGTCGCCAGTGAGGCAAACGATTAGTAACAACCAAGTAGTGATTGAGTAACGACTGACTAACGATAGCTGTGAACGTTCTAAAACGTTTCTATAGCGCTTCAGATTTAAACGTACGTTGAAGAACGCTACTCTGAATGAGAACTTTTGTGCATGTTCAAAACTGTTTTTCCGGACCAGCGTTCTATGCCGATTCCCGGCGATTACTGACGTTCACTGGCGTTCACACACCGTTCTTCTGGCGCTATCCCAGCAACCATGGGCGACTTTCAACGTTTCTTGAAACGTCGTAGAACGCTGACCAGAACGTCATGGTGTGACGGCCCCATAAGATAAATTCCGATTAGATAAATTAAAATCAGACCGGCTGATATTAATCAGCAATCATGTAAAATGCTATTATTTCAAAGTAAAATTCAATATGTCCACATTCAAGTTTCCCGAATGTACAAACGCTAATGATTAGTCTTTTATCCCCCAACATAAAGTTTAATTTAAAGTCATGTATTTTTGATATTTCGTGCAGAATAAAAAAATGTTATCGATCAAAGCTGACATTTATTTGAACTTTGTTATGTTTTTGTTTCTCTAAATGACTACTTTGCACTATTAAGTCATACTGTACTTATCATACTATATATCAGTAAAGATTTATGAAAATCAAAGAAACAACGTGTGTATGTCGTGAGTTAAGTAAAAGAAAGAGACTCAAAACACGAGGCTATCTGATTTGAACGAGGGGGCATAGCTCCCCAGTATGAATTTCATTGCACAGTGTTTGTTCTTCCTCTTTCGTACCATAGGACAAAATAAAAACACGTTCCCTGTCATCACAATATTAAACCAGATAAAAGTGACCAATGTACGAGCATCTGAATATGACTTTTCCTATCGTTATCTCTTTCCCTGTCGTCAAAATAAGTAAACCCCAGAAAAAATGAACCAAATAACGAGCATGTTCTAGACAGACAGTTAGTGCTGGTAACTAATACCTGCACTCTAGTTAACGCAATTTTACTCTGACACGTTTTCAATAGTAAAGTCTACGAACTATGATACAAAGGATATATCATTTTTACAAAGTAAATGGCAATCAGTTCTAATCTTATATCAATGTAGTTTCTTTATTTGTAAGCTGGGGTTGTCTTGACAAATATTATGTGTATAATATAAAAAACGTGTTCAGAAAATCCAGGAAATCATTAAACACAGTTGTTTTAAATTTATGTTTATTTAATAAGATATACATGTATTAGTACTGAGAATAAATTATAAATTCACAATCTTAAAAGGAAACATCCTGTTGTAAAATCTGATACGATTTTATAATAAAACAACTTACTTCATTATAAATATAATATAATTTTAAACCGAAAAAAGAAAAAAAAAAGATCCTGTTTGATTGAGCCTATTTACAGTTGATGAACGGGAGTGGTAAATGCGAGCTACCATCTACACCCCCATATCACCGGCTTACAGTGTATAAATATCTGCTTTAAAGAGTTTAAATTTTGTAAAAGAACATATACACAATTCTTGTATGAAAGAATCTTTATTTTGATATCTACATCTCTTGTTATGCTCTCCCTATTGATCTAAATGGGCGGCGGATAAGTTTGACTATAAATGTAGAATGTGAAATGTTCTACCTATAAGAAGTCACTTTGGGGATAACAAGTAAATTTTGTCGTTGGTTGCTTGCACTTCAATATTAATATTGCCAACTATGAAGGTCATAATCGTCATCCTTACTTAGATAGAATAAAAATGGTCTAATAAGTATGAAAATATCAATAGGATCTGCGCAATACATAAGAAAAGATATCTTTATAATTGACATTATTATTATTGAAATATAACTATAGTAATTATTTCCATAATAATAATTAATGTTTGTAATTAAGTTTTGTTGGTACTTCTCAAACGTTGGACTTATTATGCACATGTTATTATTTACCATTTGAAACATGTATGGAATGCAAACAGGGGTTTGTTGTCTAATTGAATTAATGAATACAAACTGTACAACTGGTCTGTTTTCAAATAAGAAAAGAACATGTACGCGTCAAATTTGTACAAGGGCCATCAAATAAACTGTTGACTTAATACTTTAATAGCAATACTTTTGGTTCTTTGCAGATAGTAATATTAGACGTAACCCAGATAATGATATAAATGAGAGAGAACTAGAAGTTATATTCAATACACGCACGTGCGCGCAGGCATGTACGCGCGCACACAGACAAAACAGAAAAAAAAGATTTACCCTCTAAATGTGTGGGCCCTGCTTCCAACCGTGACTAACTTTTACCCTAACAATGCACTATGTTATTATATAAGCTTGTAAACTAAAGTCATACGTTACAGACGAAAATGCTTTAAGGAATAATTCATGCTAACTCCAATAAGTAAGTCAATCTATTTTCAATACATAGTGTTTGCGATTTAAATGAATAATTTCTAAGTTTTATCAATATATGTTTTGCAATATATTAAATTTTATCCTGAATTACAAACACGGTTGTAAATGAGGTAGTGTTGCATTGATAATGAATGTGTTAAAATAAAACTAAAAGTGAAATAAGAAAGAACAAAAAACTAATTTTGTGCTTTAAACGTAATACTTTAGCATTGAGCAAATCATTAAGAGTTAATTAAAATATATGTCAAAAATATATACAGTGCTTTTCGAGATGGGGTATTATTGCTCTTTTTGCTGTTGTTTTTTTTGTATATTTTTATGTTTTCTTTTATTATTTTGGGTGTGGGGACTAGGAGGGTTTTTCTGTTTTGTTTTTTATTGAGGGGGGTGGGGGGGGTGGGGGCGGAGCTAAACGAGGTGGTTCCACTCAGCCAAAAATCATTGTCACTGTAGTGCTGCTGACATTTTTTGTTATATTTTTTATTTTCTTGTATTTATCATTGTTTAATTTAGACTTCTTCTAGAAAATGTAGAATTTGAATTTACATGAACTGGAAAACGCCACTTAGAAGTGTTAAATGCAAAATTGGTATTTTACTAGAGCAAAAACGTATTAAAACGTATTCGCTCTTAAATATTATTACTGGTATACATACATAATGTTGTTGCGTGTTTTCAACAAATTAATTGAGTGTATCAGGTTTTTTTTATTTTATTTGTTTTTTTTTTAAATATTTTTTTTTTGTATTTTGAAAATCTTTCCCCTGCCTTCAGTAAATGAGATCATACCTCGCCCATTTCATTCTAGGCCAATTATAAACGATAATAAAGAACTGTTTGTTCGATTCCCACCAGATTTACCAGTAGTGTTTAGTTACAAGCACATATAAAGTATTAATTTGACATCTCAACTCTTTCTTTTTCTGTTAAAATGGAAAATGCAGTGTAACTGGATATCTGTATCGGAAAAAGGTTTTTTGTTTTATCTACCACTAGCGTTTAAGCACACAGGATTAAAATATTGTGTTATTGAAACGAGTACGTTTGAACTGCCTACAAATATTTCCTGTTTTCTAATTGATATCGAAATACATTTGAATTTTATAAAAAAAAATCCTGATTCATAAATCTTTAGGATCTGATTCATGAGAGACTAAGATGTTTTATTTAATGTTTGTAAACAGTGGGCGTTATAGAAAAAAATCCTTAAATGCCACTAAATAAGAAAACACTAAATATGTTTTTTTTTATTTCTAATATCCCTTACGACCTTAACATCATAAAACGTGATCACGAAGGTGGCACCTTTTGGCTTCCATAAATTCCATATTTATGTCCAAAACATTGAAACATATATATGACATAATATAGGATGTCACGTGACTGAGGTCAATTATGAATTTTGGACACAGCTATGTTTCTGGGCAGGGGCGTGTGACGTGTCTGTTTCTGCTTAAATGATATATTTCTAGAAAATATAAATATTCAATGCAAGGGACACAGACAAAATAATGCATGCACGAAACACTTTTACTTGATCACAAATTAAATTCTTATTTACTTTTCTTATCTTTTCTTCTTAAAAAATTAAAATCGATGCGAACAAATCGGTAAAAAGAAAAACCGGAAAATAGTTATGTAACTTTAAACGCTATTAACAGTGGTTCATGCCGTTTTTAATCGTTTAAACTGTATAGTTTTACTATTTCGTGTTTCGAAAAATAGTTACAGTAAGCACTTTAGCTATTATATGAACAAGCACTAGATGATATGACCCAGTGAACTGTGTACCAAAATATTACTGCTCATTAAACTTCGGAATATCTCCCTAGAGTTTATACGAAGACTGGCGGAAACAACCGATATGTTACTATTGTCCCCACAAACATAGATTCTTACTTTCCTGACATTTTAACAATTAAACAAATCTTCCACAGCTGCAAAAAGACCTTTCTCATGTTTCTTTTTTTAAGAGGCAAACTGGTATAACCATAACCCACTGTGCTTGACGTAACTTCCTGTAATCATGTACTATTATAAATAAATAAATGTGTATGTTAAAGTCACACACCACTAAATTGCGTTTTTATGAGGTTAATGGAAACATATTTAATGCCCATTCAAAGTGATAGACTTTATTTTGAGGTAAGGATCTGTAAGAAACTGTGTACAAAGAGTGAGTCGTTCTTAGTACATAGTGTTCCCGTCTCCTAATGTATATGTGTTTTAGTCTCCAACCGGTTTAATCAGAGGGGCTCTAGGTTAACCCTCTGGCCGTCCATCAATTCTAACAAACACCCAATGGTCTATGAACTTCATTCCGTCCATAATCTTAACCTGTTAAATAAGGAAATCCCATAAACCGACTGGTTTATGTGGTAATTTTACTGGTTTATATGAAAAGGAAAAGTGCTACATAAATATCAAAGAAAGAGCACCAACTGTTGGCACGTCTGTCCGCCTGTCAGTCCGGGCAAACATCTAATGGTCTATGAGCTTCATTCCGTCCATAATCATAGTAAAAATGGGAGAAAATCCCATAAACCGACTGGTACATTTTATCATCTGTTTGTCATGCATACCATTTTTTCCATTCTTTTTACAATTTTCAATTATTAGACATGTTAAATCAATCGTGATACTGTGGTTATTCTATTCAACTTCGAGTTGGGTATTCGGGTTATTATGTTTCAAATGAATTAATGTCTGTACATTTGAATAAGAGCAAGTACAAATCTGCAAACCTTGTCAAAAATTGACATTTGTGTACTTAAACCGAAATGCCTGTTAAACCGCAAACGTAAACAATTTTCAATGTAAATGGATATGCAAAAATGCTATGTAAAAAAAACGAAAGAAAATCGGATTGGCTATATATATTTAAACGAAAAGCGTACACACAAAAAAAAAACCAAAAGACCTTGAAGATTATCCAACATGACTTCATGTGCGCTCGATGCGACAGCTTTAAAAGCGCTGATTAACAACGTAACTAGTCAAGGTCGAAATGTCATCTAGACGTCGTTAACGTGCACCGATATTACTGCACTAATCAATTTAAGATGGTTGCTCTGGGAGAAGAGACCCAATGAACCTATCGGAGATATTAGCGCACCTTGGCACAATGTGCTCAGAGGTGAGCTTTTGTGATGGCAGTGTCCATCGTACCCAAATTGTACGGTGCTGATATATAGCTACTTTACACATTTGATCTTATTATCTTAACAAACAAAATTAATACAACGGAATCCACCCTCGTAACTAGAAATAATTGGAACAATTATTAAAACGCATGTTCACTTACGAACGCAAAATATCTTCATTTACATACAGTCCAAAACAATCATAAAGGATTACGCAGCCATACAACCATAACATTAAGTGACATTTTTCTTTTCACCGATTATTACAGTCTTTGGTGTCAATATTCCAAAGTATTTATTTAGTCCAAACACTCCTTTTAATTCTTTTTCTATCTTTTGTAAAAATGTCTAGACGAACGCTAATAAATACAAATCATACGACAAACATTTTTTTATACTTTTCAATAAATGCTGACATGCGTTAAAAGTTGATTGAAATGTAATTTTATCAAGCATTGAATCTCAATTGTACTAAAAAAGACATTATCAGCTTGTTTTTTAACTACATTTGTAATTGTGCAATAATGTTATAAAAGTGCATGTATATGTAGTCTAAAAATGAGTCAATATTGTACCTATAATGCAGAAATTTTAAATAAATTTAAATGAGTGACATGAATAAATAATAATTTATCAAACATGCCCAATAAATTTAGTGGGTGCTTAAATATTGAATGTGGCAAAGTTATGATAACGCTGATTTTTATTCTAATACAACTTATGCCTCTATTTTGCCGTCAATAAAGTTTTTTTTATAATATTGCACGTTTGTAACGTCATTTTTCATTGGATAATCGTGACGTTTATATAGTTTTAAAAACACGGCTGCTGTCCATGCAAATCTTACATTTTTTTCTCAAAAAATGATGCTTGCTGTATTATAAAATTCGTTATAAAGATTGTTGACAGGTTATATGACCGTATATAAACTGCTGTTTGCAATATAACCCTCGCCTAACGGCTCGGTTATATTTACAAATAGCCGTTTATATAAGGCCATATAACCTGTTAACGATCTTTATAACTAATAATATACACGGCTGCTGTTAATTTACGAAGAAATCACACTTTTTTTCTCTCTAATGTATCTAATGTAAAAATTCCTGATAGGTTATATGGCATTTAGCGACTGTAATTATATTATCAAACAACCCTTTATTTGGGGCCATATAACCTGTCAAAAATCTTTATAACTAATAATATAAGGAAATCATCAAGTTGTACATAACAAATACTATTGGAGTTTATCTTATTTTAGATAAGTTTAAAAACTCGTTTGCTGTATAGGAAGAAGTCTGAAAATGGCAGATAGGTAAGTTAACATTTTTATTAAATAAAATCATTTAAATAAATGCCTTTAATATCGGTTTGAATAAGCATTAATTAAATTTATATTTATAAATAAGTGTATCTCTTATCGGAATGTTTGTCTGTCTGTTTGTAATATATCTAAATTGTTTCGAATGGTCATTTTCACTTTATTTCTAAACCTATGCACAGACAGACAAACACTCCGATAACAGATACACTAAATCACTATAACTTCAATAACTGCACTTAGTTCCAAAAAGCAAACGAAGCAAATTATGGTTCAGGAAAATCACTCTTTTTCTCGATATGTTCTGTTATTATTATTATTATTATTGTTGTTGTTGTTATTATTATTATTATAATTATCATTATTATCATTACTTTTATCATTATTATTGCTGTTGTTATTATTACTATTGTTGTTATTGTTGTTGGTGGTTGTGGTGTTATGTTGTTGTTGATGTTGTTGTTATTATTCTGTTCAGTTCTATAATGCCCTGTTTTTAATCTTATTTACTGTTTTTGCTCTGCTTTTGTGTTGTTCTTCTTCTGGACTAGTATTTTTTATTATGTTTAATAAAAAGAAATGCAGATAGTCTTTTGTTAAACGTTACTTGATGTTTGTGTTATTTCTTTAATTGGTCTCTTCATAAACTGGAAATTACGTACAAAAAGCTGAAAATGCAGCATGAAATATTTTTTTGTAATTTTTGTTGTTTTTATACTTAAAATCAAATAGTTTTATGCTAACATATTTGTTCATAATCAGTGTACTCTCTTTTTACAATATAGTAAGAAAGATTCAGGTCCGGTTGGACTGTATGAGGTAAGTAAAATTATTCTTACAATAAAATTATCATATTAATACCTTTATAGTTTGTCAAGGTTTTTTCTTTAAGACTACATTTTTGCCATAATTTAAATAACCCCCCAAAACAGCCATGTCTATAAACTATGATTTATAGGTAGCCAATTTTCGATATTATAAGAGGGGCATGTGTTTTATTAGTAAATTAAACGCGTTTTAATAATGGTCAAAACTCATTAAAGGGTACAAATTTCATTTTTAATTTAAATATTTAAAGAAAAAGCTAGTTTTTGGCATAAAAATCAGATTTGAAGGATAAAATATTTACTGATATAATTGACAGACAGCATGGTCATCCAACCAGGGTTCCGATAAGGTGCGTAATTTTCAAGTAAGGACTGCATAATTGTTTAGAAGTATAGAAAGTTTGTTACATTTTCAACTTTAAAATAAACATTACGAAAACTCTTAGAATGCTTGTTTTACTTATCTGTTTCGACAATATATTGATGCAGGTTGTAGAAGTGCCATGTTACGTTTTGAACGTGAAGATTGTCAGAGGTCACGTGACAAAAGGACGCTGGTCAGATATGAGTAAGTAGAGCTTTGTCTTCCTTGTGCCTTGAGTATATCTTGTTATAGGCTTCTGATATTTTGAAAATGCCAAATATAGAAGTTATTCATTTATGCATGCATATCAAAAGAAAGCGAGACGTTCGAGACACCTTTTTGTCATTTTTTCTAGGCTATATAGTGTGTTATGCTAGAAAGTTAATGTCCATTTTTCATACATAAACATCTACATAATTTCAATGACGCATTTAAAGTAAGAGCCATCAGGACGAGGGATTTACTAAAATGTGAGGGCTTTAGCAAAAAGGATTGATAAATGACATACATGCATTATTAACAAGATATAAAAGATGGTTATGTGGTAAACGTTTTCGTATATTGTTAATCTCTGAAATTCACTTATAAAGAGAAAAAAAAACTTGTATGCATTTAAGATAAATATTTGCATTTATTGGTATAAGTTGTTATAATTTTTTTTTCTAAAGCGCACGAAACATTTCATTCCAGTGGATACTCCGGACGCATACGTTAAGCTAATTGTCAGAAGAGCTCCAAATCCTAAGAGACAAACCAAATCTTGCGACAATAAAAACGAACCGATCTGGAACGAGACTTTCAAGTTCTTTCTCAAAAACGTTGACGGAAACAATATGGGTAAACATTAGCGAGCAGTTGATATAAAAAGAATGATCCTCGTTAAATACTTGAAATATAATGGCATGATAATTAATTGTTATATGTTATATGGTAACAAATTCTTATTTAACCCATTACTTCATAATATAGACGTCCTTTCACGCATTTTCACTCCCCTTTGAGGCCTCGAATAGTGGAAAATGCCCTATTTAGACCCCAACCACTTGTTTTTGCTTGTAAAATGTTGTTAAAAAAGTGATCAACTTTTCGACGCCGTCCCCTGTCAAAAACGAGCATAAGAATTTGGACTTCTAAGATAGTAAAATATGCCTCAGGTCGATCAGAAGATACTATGACTCTATCTCATTCCATTTTGAAGGGGAAAACATTATCGCAAAATAGTAATTTTTTTTGCAATTATATCTATAATTGTATGTTTAACGTAATGAATTTATTTTAATAAGAATAAGACAAACATGTTTCTTATCTATTTTTTTTTTATTTTAATGGAATAACATTTTCAGAATTAACCTTAATGGACTCAGATTACATATCTGATGATACTCTCTCCACTCAGACGATAAAGATACCTAATTTAAATGATTTGATGGAACGCAGACAAGAGATGACCATTAACTTCAATGAGGTAATTTTTTAATAAGTATTCTATGACTACCAATTTGTCGGGTGTTCTGATTGACGGTCAGTAGGAAGTGATACTGACTTTGACTCTAGATGAATGTCACAGGGTGAGAAAAATTGACAGCATGACCGGGACTCGAACACAGGATCTTTGGAATAGCACACTGCGGCTCTATCCTATAGGAATTGTACACTAATCATTAGTTAGGTGTAAATGAATAACTTTTTCTTATTCAATTTCTTCTGAAATATACAAAAGCTCAAAGGTACGTAAGCAGAGAGGGGACAGTCCGATCTTATTTTTATTTTACTTTCTCGTGGCCGCAAGCTATAACTCAGAAAATAAATCTCTATCTCGTGGCCCAGAAAAAACGTAAAACAAAATGCTATTTGAGATATAACTCCAAAAAAATATAACTCCTGGCCAAGAGATAGCAATTCCTTTTCTGAGTTATATGGGAACCAGATAACAATTTTTTTCTGAGTTATTTCTCGTGGTCACGAGATAGGAAAATAAGATAAAATCAGAATGTCCCCTCTATGCATCTGTAGAAACAAAACCATTATTCTTCATAATATTTCTTTTTCGTCAAAAGAGTCTGCTAAAGCTTATATAGGCCTAGGCTTATGTGCCTACCAACTATGGCACAGATGAGTTGTTAGTATTTTAGAATATCGTATTTAAATATATTTACAAAATTTATAAAATATGTATTTATTATAAATACAACCACATTAATCTTTCTATGCAACTGCACAGAGTTTGCTAAATTCAAGAATAAAATGGAGAATTTTCTAGACACTGAACTATACACAAAAAAGGAAAACCAGAATAAAAGATTAAGTGCTAAAAGATGTCATTTTTTATGCAACAAATCATATACATGTATGTAAATCAAAAGAAAACATGATGTTTCCATATCTATACATGTACACAAACATATACATACATCATAAAACATGATCAAATATTATAAACAGGTATTATATTAAACTAATGATTCATCATCATATCATGTAGATAATGTCAATAATATTAAATGTCATATTGTATTATGTTTCATACTGTTTTCAGAGTTCCAAAATTGACATAGAGATGTGGGCAGAATACGACACGTGATTGAATTTATTCATTTATTTCATTTTCTTAATCTACATCTTTTTTTTAAATTTCTTTTTTTTCATGATTTGATTGATTGATTGATTGATTAATTTTGTTTTTAATATTATTTTTTAATATTATTGTTTTGCATAATAATTTCTTTGGCCACTTAGAGCTACTTAAATTTCTCTGTGTAAAAACTTAGACATGTAAATATTAAATATTTATCAACTAACTTAAAAAAATCAGTTCTAAGAATATTATTTAAAATGATCAAATTCGAGTGAAACGCTTTTCACTACTATATAAAGAGGTATTTGATTTTTTTTTATATAAAAGCTCGGACCTTGCGATATACTGCGGACAAGAACTGTGCGAAGAAGAAAAGACCTTTCTGGAAAAAAGGAAAGAAAGAGCTTATCGAGTGATGCAAGAAATGTTAGGGAAAGACGCTCCAAAAACACCAAACGAGGTAGCAAACTTATGATTTTTACGCAGTTTTGTTATAGAATATGTTTAAGGTCATAAGTGTATTGCTGAAAATGCAATTTAATTTCAATTTGTGTCTGATATGTGTCTGAGACGAAGATCCGAATCGCTAAAGGCTTTATTAAAGGCTTCGTAAAAGGCTTTCGTTAAAGTGTTCGGGATCAATTGATGCCATCACTATAAAGTGTTGAGAGTTGAGTCTGCTATTCTCTTGTAATTTTGTTATGATTAACGCTTCAAAGGGATCACTTCGTTTCCAGATTTTTTTATTAAAGCTATGCAAATGATTATTTCTCATAAACATACATCTCTAGGTAAACTTGTTGCACGTGCAAATCGAATTATTTTTGAATGTTTTACACAAACAGGTTCCAACAATAGCAGTAATGGGATCTGGTGGTGGATTCCGTGCAATGACAGCCTATTCTGGAGCAATGGGCGCCCTGGTGGACTCTAAAATTGCAGATATGGTTATGTATAACTTGGGTCTGTCCGGCTCAGCTTGGTAAAGGACGTTTTTATTATTTTAAAGAAACTCCACTGAGTTTTATTTTGACATGACGCAACTGGAAATATTTTTGTGAGATTAATGTTCCATTTTGTGAAGGTCTAGATCAACAACATATGTGCTAAATATCAGATCATTAACTCACTAAATTTTCCAGAATAATTATTCTCATTGTGAAAAAATAACATTGAAAAGCGTTGCAACGCTTTTCAATTAAACCAGGCTAAGAATAACAAAAAAAATGTAAGAATATCAATTGAGCCATGTCATGACAAAACCAACATAATGGGTTTGCGACCAGCATGGATCCAGACCAGCGCAGTCTGATCAGGATCCATGCTGTTTGCTTACAGACCCTATAACAAGTATAGAAACTGATAGTTACAGAATGGATCCTGATCAGACGACGCGGATGCGCAGGCTGATCTGGATCCATGCTGGTCGTAAACCCATTATGTTGGTTTTGTCGTGACGCGGCTCAATTTATTTCTGATTATACATCTTGATTATCTTGTCTATATAATTCAGTTTCAAGTGCCCCGGCTTATCAATGCAAACAAATAAAAGTCTCATTTTTCAACATTTTGACGTCAGTTGAGTTCCTTTAAGAGATTATTTTTAGAAATAACTGTATTTGATTGTTGTTACCCTGATATAAAGTGTACACAATGAACTCATAACGTAAGTGTAAAATGTATTAATGTGTGTTTTTGTGCTTATTTATACTCGCCACCGGTTGTCCATATGGACGAGTCCCCCCAGAAGAATATCATTGGAGGATAGTGCAAGATCAGATACAGAAAGATGCCCCAATGCCAAAAGTTTCTCCTTGTTCTTACACGGGACATCGAGTTAAAATCTCATCCAAAAGACTTATTTATTTTTTTAAGTTGGCCAGCAGGACATCGAAGCCACAATATCGAGATTACAAGTATCGCGCTCTAACCGATTGAGATATGCCTCTGACATCCCTCCGCGGCGTGCACGTCGCTCGGAGGGCATAGGTCATACCAGATGGATGACCTAGTTAGGTCATTTAGCTGGTTTGACCTAACCAACGGCAAAGGTGTGGCTCTATTAAGAGCTGCTGCTCCCGGAATAGGTGCCTTTCCTCTATATTGTCTACTGCGTTCAAGATCGAAGACCTGGTCCTAGAGAAGATCTACCATGAAAAACGGCATGAGAAGACCTCCGTTGCGGCTCTACAAACAGCGACGTTGAAGGCGAACTAAGTCCTCCGTAGCAGGGTCTACGTCCAGCGACGTAACAGAGGCCGATAGTCTGGGACATATGGCAGAGCCGGCGCCCAGTATGAATAAAAGAAAAAAAAACACACAAACTTGAGCTATGCGGAGGGTTAATGTAGTACATAAACCATTCAATTAATTATAGTTAATAACATGACGGTATTCTGTATAACATGTTTTTTATCGTAATATTCCTGGGGTAAATACGCTTTTAAATTCTATGTTCTTATGATACATTCCATATTATATTTGGTGGCTTATTTACGCCATGTCTTTTTTCGTCATCTTCTACTCAAAACTGAAAAGCGAAAACATGAAGGGATTAAAAAGTTGGAATTTGTCGTCTCTTCACTTTTTCAGATTTTTCGAGGCAAAACAGCGAAACTATGACAGAAGCAGGGCCAGAATGCGACACATAAAATCTGTTGTAATTTGCATTCCATCTGTTGTAATTTCGCGATGGCGTAAATCAACCGCTATAATACTAAGTTATTAATTTGAATAAGCGCTAAGACATGCGCGGTTTCAGAGGGGTATAGGTGATTATGCACCATCCCCCCTTGCTTGTACATGTATGTAGAATCCCTATGATATTCGTTCTGTCAACATACAATTTTAGCGAAAATCACGCAAAATAAAAAAAACTTTAATTATCGAAAGTTTGACTCATGCGTACCCCGAGGGGAATCTAGTAAAATGTCATAACCCCTCTGGAATAGGCTGTTCGTTATTTGTAATATTTATGATACCACTGTTTTACATATTTCGTATATACGTTGTTTTGTCAAATCAGGTACCTTTCGTCTCTCTACTCCCATCCTGACTATCCCAAAAAATCTCCACGTGAGCTTCGCAAAGAGCTAGGTGAAAGTATTGAATCCAGTCCGAGGTGGATCGTGTTTAATCCTTTGAATTGGATAAAGTGTATGTCAGACGTGAGATCGGCAAAGGCAAGTGGGCAACCTTTCAGCTTCACGGATGTCTACGGTTTTATGGTCGGCGAAACACTTCTCAGAGGCGTATGAGTTATATTTATTATTACATAATTATCTTAAATGTGGATTATTTTGTGTTTTATTAATAACTTGCTGAAATGAAAGGTATGAATGTTAAATAAATTTGACCATTTTAGGAATGTAAAAAATATATCTTACATTCGAAATATCTTTGTTATGTAACTTGGCTACAAGAAGGTAATTATTGCAAAGTCCTCGATAGAAAATTTTAATGCTTATATTTTATTTTTGATATTTTATGTCCTAAAATTGTTGAAAATGCAGTTTCATTTCTAAACAATATAAAGTAAATAATTCTATAAATAAGTAAATATTCACTATATGTATATTAGTTTTAGACATTTTTTAATCTTATCAACTATGCATACACAAGTATATATCTTTTATTTTGGCTAGAGAATGGATTCAAAACTGACTGATCAGCGAGAAATGTTAAAGGATGGATTGGTTCCTATACCTTTGTACGCAGGTGTCCACGTAAAAACTACGACATCGGCTAAGGTCTTTCACGGTATATGTGTACTATCACAGTATTATATATGTATATTCGTGCATATTCGTGTTTTTTAGACATGTAAGGATCAATCAGAAGAATATAATCAACTCACTTCAGATAAATGTATAAACAAGTTCATGAAAAATATGTTATTTTACATAGTTCCTATTATTCGAACCTTTTCAAGTTAGGTTGTTCCAGTATAACTACCTGAATTCTCAGTCATCAACCTTGGATATGTTGCCTGCTTTTAAGATTAGACTTTTGAGGTATTATCTGTGATATGCAGACATCTTATTCTCTGATCCCCTTTCAAAGGTCACTTTCATTTACTTCCGTCCATTGTTTCCTCGTTTAGGGCAACAGAAGTTTTTTTTTTTTGGGGGGGGGGGGGAATTTCAAACTTTCACCATTTTAAGTTGAATTGTTGAATTTGCTTAAGCCGGTGCTAGTGGGGAACGTGGACTGTAGCTTGCACTTATCAGTTTCGTCCATGAACAATCTCAATCAAACTGAGCCTACAACATTTTCAATTTTCGTCCTGGACGTTATTTGGGGATTCTATTATTCTTTATTTTACAAAGAAGACTCTAAGTGTCTAAAATAAATACAATGAGTGACACCTTGCCTTTTAACTACATATATGCGGGCTGGAATTATTATACTTGATCTGCTGAATTGGTTAGATCATTATTTAAGCATACATGGTCATCGAATCTTATCCATGCATGTTTTATTTGGATATTGCTTTTATAATATTTGCACGAAAAACTTTAACTTTTTGTTACAATGGTGCAAAGATTTGGAATATAATACCACCTTATATACGTTCATCTAATTCGCTGATTTGATAATTTGATATCTAAAAGGAGCTTTTGTCAAAAAAGCTTTATAGGACAAAATTTTAATAAAATACTTAGTAGTTGTTATTGTTATATGATTTTTTTTCTTATGTTTGTGTTGTATATATTAAACACGGCCACATTTAGAATTAATATATGTTATTTGCTTTCTACGATAGTATATCTTCGTGTGTTACCTTCTTTAAAGTAGTAGTATAGGTAGTAGTAGTAGATTTAGTAGTAGTAGTGGTTGTAGTAGTAGTAATGGTAGAAGTAGTAGTAGTAGTAGTAGTAGTAGTAGAAGTAGAAGTAGTAGTAGTAGTAGTAGATGTTGTAGTAGCAACAGCAGCAGCAGCAGCAGCAGCAGTTAGCCTTTAGAATTAGTATTTTAGCCTTTAGCAACTACGATACCGACAAAGGTCTTTCTTAACCTTTAAATACAAATGTAGTTACATCAAAAGGTTTTCTTTAAGTTTATTGAAGACGTTATCAAGAAAATGATTTTATATTTTCAGAGTGGGTAGAGTTCAGTCCATACCTCATAGGCATGTCAAAGTATGGCACATTTATGCGACCAGAATTATTTGGAAGCAAACTCTTCCAAGGACGGCTAATTACAAAATACGATGAGTCACCACTGCATTTTTTCCAAGGTAAAATATAAAAATGTTGCATAATTTTGTTTTAAATTCTTGACAATCAGTGCCTTCTTAAAGTGGACCAATCTCCCAGAACACATTGTTCTTTTCATTATTAAACAAGAACAAGGCATCGTTAACGTACCTGTATTGTTTTGGTTTTTTAAAAAGTCATATGAATGCTGTCTGTGTCTCAAAACATGCAATTTGTTGACAATTAGATTATCTAAGTCCATCCTTTACGATTCCAGTAAAAACAAAAGTATATGTAATAAGGGTATACATCAATCATCATATGACAGAATTTAAGGCCAGATCAGGTGTCTGAATATGTTTGTCAGAAAAGGCACACATTCGCAAAATTAAGAAAATGCATCTACTATGGTGGCTGATATGGTACATTGTGCGTTGTGTTGTCGATAGCGACAATGCAACCTATATCGTTATGGCCTTTTCGTCTTGTAGCTAGTGACAACACAACAAAATGCCAAATGGCTCGTTCTCGCGCTGTCGTCTTGTTGTCCTGTCTCTAGCAAAGCACACAAAACAGCGAGTTGTCGTGTGGTGCGTTGTCGTGATGTGGCCCTGTCGGTTGGCTTATAAGCCAATCCTTCGATTTGAACCGACCGACAATGTGACATCGCGACAACACATCCCACGACAACGCGCCGTTTGGCGTACATCACTAGCGACAGGAGCGCCATTTGGCACTTTGTCCTGTTGTCGCTTGCACCAACACGACGCACAAAAGTGTTCCAAATCAACAACCATAATCTCTTGCTTTAAACGTGTTCTTCTCATTCTTAAACAAGTGATTAATACAATGCATCGTTTACTAGGTATGATAAAATTTCTCGGCCCGATATAATTCTAGCTACTTCACTGTCATTTACACACGATACATCGATACCGAATATCTTATGGAAGATTACTGACCAAGTTACAAGCGGTTTTATACAGATAAAGTAACATAAAAATACTGGTCAGAAGAGGGGTTTGTCATTCAGAGCAAATGGAGAAAGTTAAAATCAGAGCCGTCATTAAGTACCTCTGTAAGAAAGGGATGCCCCAAGGAAATCCATGAAGACTTCATGGATACACTTGAGAAGTAGTCACCTGCTTTATTTAAGAGGGGCAGAAAGTGCATTTGAGATGATGAGCGGCCTTGGCGGCCAAACGAGGCCACCAACGATGAAAATGCCGAAGCTTTGCACGATCAGGTCATGTGCGACAGAAGGCGGGACCTGCGAAGCATTGCTGGGGAAGAAGGTATAAGCTTTTGATGTCTATGGCATGTTAAATGTTTCCACCCAAGCAGTTGACTGACGACAAGAAACGGACCAGGTTTGACATCTCAAGATAACTTTTTTCACGCTACGAGGATGTTCCTTATTTAATCTACCGGATCGTAACTTGGGTCCATCATTTCGATCCAAAATAAAAAAAAACAGAGCATGCAGTGGAATGACCCTGGCTCAGAAATTCAAGTGGATGCCATCAGCAGGTAAGAAGATGGCTTAATTGTTTTGGAATAGTCAGGGGATAATCATGATTGACTAGGTCAATAAATGTCGTACTATAAACGATGCGTACTATGAAGACGAATTGAGACGTATTCGTCGAGAAATCGCGCGTATAAGGAGAGGCAAACTGACTCAAGGCGTTCTGCTACTGCACGACAATGGGCAATCTAACACATTCAAAGTTGCGATGGCTGCTGCAACTGAATGCGGCTTTTAAATCCTCCCCCACCCCAACATTCTCCAGACTTGACCCCTCTGACTTTTACTTGTTTCCAAAACTGAAAACCAAGCTACGTGGTAGACGTTTTAGAAGCAATAAATATGTCAAGGAGGCGGTTAATGAGTTCTTTGAGTACCAACATAGAGGGTTCATTTTTGAAGGGTTAAAAAAGTTGGAGCACAGGTGGGCAAAGTGCATTGATGTAGAGGGGTATATATCAAAATGTAAGACCATTAGTTAGGTTCTCTGACTACTGGAAGTACATCGGGCCAAGAACTTTATGATCAATCCTCGTACGTACCTTGATACCGGCCAGACAGGTCATTGCTAACATTTTACACAAGTACATTGTTTATGCGATTCAGAAGATACACTAAAACTTTAAAACAGGTCTACTATCACAGTATATAGCTGATTGATTATTGCATTAATATAGATTCACATTTGCAGGTCTTTGGGGAAGTGCATATTGTGTTTTGGCAAATCGTTTTGTTGGCATAAACCCAGAGGACTCAGACAATGAAGATGAGGAACGCGAAGAACTTGGTAGCTTTTATTTCGATTTCGGTTTCAAGTTCGTTTATTAACCTCATGTTTGATTATTCTCTTTAACCGTAATGAGACAGTATAAATTGTTGATTGGAAAGTCTTTTTTAAAAAGCACTTTCATATCTCTAATATTTTTATTTCTTTAATTAACCACTGTTGTTGTCTGAACTAACTTCTGGTATAAGTTGTCCAAACACTCCACTTTTAGCATCACCATCCATTTATAGATTGCTTTGCAGCAAGTTCACATCTATTGTTTATTTCTTAAAAATCGTTTCATAAACACAGAGGTTTTATTTTAAGAATTCTGAAAATCTTACCTTTTATTATGTGTTTGTTTGTTTTTATTGCTGTTTCTGTTGCTGTATAGGAAATATGATGGAATTGATCAAATTTCTTTTCTATTGTGCAGATAAAGAATTAGTTGAAGAACTAACAATACTAGCTGAAAATGATGATGAAAGTAGTGACGATGAAGAAAATGGTAAAGCCATAGATGAAAAGAAAGCGGAGAAAAATAAGCAAAAGCAAAAAAGTATTTTCAAAAGATTTTATGATTTTTTTGGTATTGATTCTCTTGTAAACAATATCCAAGGAAGGGCAGCAGTTGTGTTTAACTACATGCGTGGTTTAGTATTGCAAGAATACCATCCGATAGATTTGTCTAGTAAGTATGAAATATAGTTGGTTATGTTTAAAATGCGGTAACCTTTTTTTCAGTAACAATGTTTCATACTTAATGTTTTTGTGATTCATGAATGAATTATTCAACGGCGGTGCTTCTATCTTAAAGTGAAATGGTAAAATACCATTATATTTTATATGCTCTTTTTAAACATAGATATAATAATGTAATGAATACTAAAAAATACAAAAATTATATTTCCTTTACTGTGTCCTGCACAGAGAACATTGCCAAGTACAAAATACTTAAATATATTCATCACAAATAAATTTGTTATTAAAGATAAGTGAAAGAGTTTAATTTAACATAAAAAATGGATATTAATATTTGCTTTAAACGTCGATTATGAAGCAATTAACAAAGACATGCAAACGTCGCTGATTTTCATACAAACGCTAGTCAAGCCTAAGGAAAGAATGTTACACTAAGTTCACATCCTGATTTCAATTTCAGAAATATTTAATTTTGCTATGATTTTTATTATAACGATGTATGTCTCAGTATATCATTGGTGATTTAAATTAATCTTTTACCAGTGCCACCGATGTTGATGGCACCGCGGTTACTGCCTGAGTTCTCAACAACTGAAACAAGTAAGAATTTTATGCCTGACGATTTTTTTGTCTAGAAATGGCATTTTAAACTATAACTGTTTCATGTAAAGTTTGTATACAAAACAATAAATGTAGTAAATAATCTGAATGTCAATATGCTAGAAACAAATACAAATCTAAATTGTGTGATGATTTTTTTAATGTTGGCTTTTAACTATAACCCCACTGATGTTGACCTGGATAAGCAAACTGTTTTGGCTCTATACTTAAACATAAGGTCACCGCTCCCCTTAAGAATATAATTAAGTTGTTGCTATTAAAACATGATTTATTTGAATACTTTTCTTTATGATTTACTTGTAAAAATATAATTCTAACAAACATGGCATATTTGTGAATAGAGTCGAGTAATATCTGAGCTTTATTGGTATATTCGACTGAGTATGGCCTTTTACTTATCAATTTAAGCCGAGGGACAGTTTGATGAAATATTTGACATGTACCCGACTGAATACAGAAAGATGTATCTAGTGGACGCTGGACTAGCATTCAACTCTCCATATCCACTTATACTGCGGCCGGAGCGACAAGTTGATCTAATCCTGTCATTTGAATTTAGCAGTAGAAAAAGTGACAAAGCAAATCCTCTATCGGTACAGTTACTTTTGTTACAATTCATTTATATATGAAAAATTGTCAAACAAATAGCTTACTTATTCTTTCAGGGTTTTCAAGCGATAAAAGAACTTATGCATGGATTTACGTTAGACTAACAAATAAAATTGTTCATACATAAATCTAGACGGAAATTAAAAAAAAATAATTAAGCGCGTTGTTTAAATTATTATTATTAAAATGCAATTATCATATTCAAAAAGCTATGGACAACTTATTATATTTCGTGTCAGGACATTTAAACATAACAAAATTGAATACTTGCATAGACCAAGTATTTTACATAAAATGGAAAATTTTGCTAAAGATAATAAAGAAATATACTCAAAAGTTAGTTGAAAATCGATTTTTGCACAATGCAAATGGAATAAGGAAATTATCTGATTTTTTGCACACAAGCTATGAATCCAGACCTACACCAAATGTCAAAATCCCTTAAAAGATGTATAATGCTTATAGAAATATTGATAGTTTCTACACACTCTTTTAGTAAATGTAAAATAAACATGTTTTAAGTTCACAGAAAGTATATATTTTGTGTTTTAAACTCCATACATTGTAGTTAAATACAGTATGAATTCAAAGTGTCATTAAAAAACTGCCACTAAAAGATGAGCATAGTATATCTTTAATGGCCTCTTTAAAGAAATGATATACAAAGTTAATAAAACATTAAGTATGAAAACATAAGCCTTTAACAACTTGTCATTTTAAACTTACTCAAAACATAATGTTGTTTTTGTGTACTTTTCTTCTGAATTATATATTCAATAATTAACAATTTTTTACTATCAACTTTAAAAAAGACTGGTTCTGAATATTTGAGACTTTTTTATCCTTTTGTTTAATGTGAAACATTGCTTTTGCCTATTGCTAGGGTGTCCATTATAAAGCAATATTACCAGAATAAGATTAGCAATAGTTTCTTACTTCTGTATCAGAATATTGAATGGTGAGAGAGATACAAGTAACTCTGTAAGTTATATCTGAAATGCTTGCAGTATGAACTTAAGAGTTAGCTCCCTTCAGCTATGTTTCTTTAAGTCTCTTGTCATTCAAAATAGAATGGCCGTACATAAACAACTTTTATCTTGTATAATTATGTGATTTAACTATTTTATATGTTGTTATGTATGAATGAGACTTGATTATTATTATTATTATTATTATTATTATTATTATTATTATTATTATTATTATTATTATAGGAACTTGTGCTGGCCGCTGAGTGGGCAAAACTGAATAAATTCCCATTCCCTGAGATTGACCAAACGGTGATAGATCGGGAAGGATTCAAGGAATGTTATGTGTTTGAAAACCCTGATGACCCAAATTGCCCGATTGTCATGCATTTCATTCTCTACAACAATCAATTCAGAAAATTTAAATCTCCAGGTAATGTAGATCCTTGTATAATAACTTTATTTATTTTTCATAGCTTACTGATGTTTGATAATAATTCATTTCATTGGCCGCTAGAAAAAATGCTGAGTAAGTGAAATTTAATTGAATCAAAATTTATTACTGAAGTAATACTACATACTATATATCTAAAGTAAATGTTTAAATGATAAACAAATACTGAGAAATAGTCCATCGTATCTTTGTGTCCCTGGTAACTAGAATATAACTCATGAAAACTGCATGATGTTTACTCAACAGGTAAAGCTAGGAAGTTCTAATATGATCTATTTTGTACATGCGTTATATCGCTATGATATTCACATAACTAATTCAGACAAAGTTTTTTGAAAAGTTGTTTTTACACTGTCTCTTGACTTTTAATATTTAATTCATCGCGAGACGAATTGAAAAGATAATGAAACATAAAAACTCTTCTTCAGGAGTTCCTAGGATGACACCGGAGGAATTAGAATACGGCGACTTTGATGTGTTTGACGATCCGGATAAACCGTATGCAACCAGCAAATTTCAGTACTCAAACAAAGCTTTCAACCGTCTTGCAGATCTGATGGAATTTAACACACTGTCTAGCAAAGATTTGATAATTGAGAATATCAGAAAATGTGTGAAGAGAAAAAGTCAGATATAAATAGAAAAAGATGTCAGCCGTAGATAGCTAAATCTTAATTGATTGACTTTGAAAACTTTAATTAAAAAATATAACATGTACTAAAGTGTATGTGTTGTTTTACTTTGCAAATACTGATTTTATTTTATTTGTTGTAAGATCACAACAAAATGTGAATCATTTTAAAGTTGGCTGTATAACAGCGAAATAATCCGCGAACGGCTCCAAATAAGTTACAATATTATTCAAATTGGTATCTGATGTGCTGAAAGATAGACGGATTGCCTTTACAAGAGCTTATGATTGTAAGAGTGTTAGTGTATATATCGTACTTTTACTATAAGCAAAACTCGAAAAAAAATCATTTCAATGATTTGGTACTCTGACATAAACTGTATTTGCAGTGTCCTTTGATTCTGAAATTATCGCGTGCAATTCTAACAGAGAATTTGTATTGATAAGTGAATCGTGATTGCTAGATTGACTTTATATTGTTATAGTATTTTTTTCAAGATGGTTACAAAAGTAACATTTGCTTAATTTCTGTACTTCTACTTGTACTATATGGATCTTTATCTTTGAAAATGTTTACTTCTTTTGTTATAAGATTTCTATGCTTTGCCATGGTGACAGTTCTCGTAGATCCAATAAAGTGTAAGTAAATCTCGTTATGTTTATCGAATTATATCACTTAAAAGACCGAGCTATCAGAAATAAATGAAATAAAGACATATTTCCTAATTTTTACGATGCATAAAAAGACGAAGACAAAATTAACTAACATACACATGATACCACAAATCTATATTACATTTTCACACTTCTCGTGTTTTTGTCACTATACACAAAGAAGAAAATGAACCGGTGTTAAACTGCCAATGAACGCTGGTTAGGGACTACATGTATATGCAATTTTTTTCCCTCAGATAAGATAACTTACAAAACCTTAAAGATTCTGTATGTTTGTGATCGATATTGTTATTGTGTGTATACCACACAAAAAATCATATATGTATATAATTATGCAAATAAAATAATTTTCAAACATCAAAGAATATGTAAAATGTGTACTGCAAATAGTTGTACACATTATATTTAATCAATACATTATATACATTCATTTCTTTTTGGAAATTTGACTTAGCATTTATAGAAAATAAATTTCTAATTACCTCCCTTTATTTACAAGAAATGTTAAATTCGGTAATATCTTTTATAAATAATGCTTTAAATAAATAACAACAACAAAAAAATAATAACAAAAAAAAAAACTGTTTATCTAATTTTAAATAAAGAAAAAAAACAACAACAAACAAATGTTGTTCATGAACACACTCACAATTCAATACATAATTTAATGAAGATAATATATCTTGTGTCTTTACAGCATGAGTCCAGTTTCCCCTGAAGTCTCCGAAAAAGTCATTTCTCTTGAGCCTTAACTTTCAATTTATTATTACTGGAAAGCCAGTTGGTTGGTCAGACAGCACATAACCAAATACATGTAAAGTCGGAGTAAAATGAAAAAAATAAAATAAAAAGAAAGCTTGAAAACTAATTTATTTATGGAATATTTAGGTGATGACAATGTATATATCAGTTACACCGCATCAGTTGCACACTCCTTTCAATAACTACGCTTTTGTAGTTATGTTTGACAAAACCCATCATCAAACACATGCGCTTGTCCAGTTACCATTGTAGAAAGGTCACTCAAGAGGTATAGTATCGGGTTAACAATTTCATGCAGTTCTAACAATCGACTTATTAGTTATAATTTCATCTACATGAATTCCTTTGTCGATAACTTCTCGGACCATCGGTGCCATAACAAGTGATAGATTCACAGAGTTCACACGTATACCATGTGGACCCAATTCTAGCGAAAATTGTTTAGAAACCAGATCCAGTGCAGACTTTGACATGTTGTATGGCAATTCTTTTGGGAATGCACCAAAACTTTCAATACTTGAAACATTTACAATTGAACCTTTAACATTTGCTTCAATAATTTTCTTTGCAACAATTTGGGTACAATGTACTGCACATATAAGATCTGTGCCCAGAACTTTATAAATGTATTCCCTGGGAAAATCAACGGCGGCATACTCATGTCCTCATATACATTGGCATTATTAACTTAACCGTCCAACACTTCTAGCTTTTCTTACTTTGTCTGCCTTTCTTCCCATTCTCATAACTATTGAAGTTATTTTTTGATTTTCTTCCACTAACGAGTCAAGGTCGGATTTTGTCCTACTCGAAACATACACTTTACATCCGCATTGGCTTAATTTTTGCAGCAACGGTGCGACCTATTCATTTTCAGGCCCCTGTAACTAACATTTTCTCTCCACTCAAATCAAATGGCATCTTGCAGAAAACGGATTTTTTGTATTGAATGCAAAACCGACCAAAATCCCTATTCAAAGACACATAAAAGTGTAACTCTACCGTGTGCCTACGATTACATTTTACACTTAGAGTGTGTTTGTTGTCAATAAACCGGTTTAAATATTAGGTTTAGGTTTGATCACAAACAATTATAAAACCAACTCTAGTTTAAATGGTTTGCAATGTCTATAGCTAAGGTTTATAAGTGGTTTGTAATCATGGCAGAATTTGTGTCAGCATTATACGGTTTTCTTTTTCAGGATGAATATAAATCAGACACTAGTCATTTTCTTTACAACTTTAAGACATCACAGAATTAGATTAGTTGTGTGCGCGCATTTTATGCTCATCATCGTGAAAAATGTACAAGTCATGATTATGTAGAGACTGTCTACCGTGCATACATCATTGATGATTTCAAAGACCGTTTTCGTTCTTTATCAGGTTATTTACTGCGTCGCAATAACTATTTCTTATACAATTACCAGGATTTCACAAGAATTTATTTAGTATGCACGTACTCATTGTCATAGTAAATATAATTCGTGTTATTCAGTGAATGTTTGTATTGACTAAACTATCCATACAAAGCAACATATTGCAAGCATTTCAATGGCAATGTGTTAAATGGTTTAGATTGTTTAGGCAAGACAACTGTTCACTGAATAAAATGAATTATATTTACCATACCATATGAGTATACTAAATGCATACAAAGTCTCTTGAAATCCCAGCAAATAATCTGATAATAATTCTTGTTACAGTAATATCTAATGTAACTGTCATATTTAAATGAAGTGTCACGGTAGGTTAAGTACAAAGATTAGCTCAATAAATAGAGCGTTGGCCTGTGAATCAGTAACTTGCGAAAGTGAAGGCAATTAGTGCTGGTGAAATGCTTGACAGCCTACCCAGATACGATGTGGTGGCTAAAATATGCTCTGCTGAATTCAAAATGATCTGTTGTCGCAATATGGAGGTTAAAATACCAACACTTCCAACTGGTACCATTGACAGGTTCACTGAAACATTTTCAATTTTGCCATTTTAGGCTTTCTTAAGGGATCCTATCTTTTTACCTTGTTTTTCTTCAAATAGATAACCGAAAACTTGAAGATGTATTGATAAGCAAATAAATACAGAGACACTGCCTGTGGCAGTTTTTTTAAAAAGCTTAAAGTAACATACTATTTACATCATTACGCATGTGGCATTCATTTGAAATCGTTATATGTTTAAAAGGTCACTTAGTGGAGGAAGAATATTAAGCAGATATCTTTTTTTCGAAAAACAAACAAAGTCCAAACAAACCTTTTAAACTAATTTTACAATAAAGAAAAAACTTTATATGTTGTTTATGAAAACCCTCGCTAATTGTACATAGCGCACAATTATTATGATTATTTATCAGTAAGTGACACATTTCATTACATAATTGAATGAAGAAAAATAATTCTTGTTTTTACCACGAGTCCAGTTGCTCTTGAAATATCCAAATAAGTCAATTCTCTTGAGTATTAAATTAAGTTTATTACAATTTATGATTACTGGAAAGCCAGTTGGTTGGACAGACCGCACATGACAAAATACATGTAAAATAGAGAGAACAAGAACCCCGAAAGAAAGTCCAAAATGGCAAAATTGAAGATGTTGCAGACTTGGTTTGATTGAGCCTGGTCGTGGACGGTAAAGTCAAGTGCAAACTACTGTCCAAGACCATCTAGCACCGACTTAGGCAGTTTTCAACATTTAAACATGTTATGGTAAAATTTTGAATGAATTCAGAAACATCCGCAGATATGTTAATATGGCGGTCATAATGAAACCTTCAATGTGACACTACCCTGCCATTCAATTGAAAAGCGGCGTATGGTCCCCAAGCAAAAAAACGTATGTGTCATAAACGACATAAAAATGGGCGGAACTAAACAAAATGGAATTTTGAAAGGGAATCAGAGGTTTTGAAGTCGCATTCACAGATTAGATTTCAAAAGACAAAGTTAAGAAGCAGGTAACATATCCTAAGGGTGATTCAACATTATTCATAACCACCCAAATCGAAAAATGCCAAATAGTTGAAACGAAAACAACAATAATGTCGTTTTGAACGATCTTTAAGGATCGGAAATATAACATACCTGATAGAATATACGGAGCGAGTTTTTACAGCCTCCACACGGCACATACAAAGCTGATGTGGCGAAAAATAGAGAAAACAAGAAAATAAATTCCAAAAGGGCAAAATTGAAAATAATGCGGGCTTGGTTTGATTGAGCCTGTTCATGGACGGTACTGTAAAGTGCAAACTTCAGTCCCTCGAACTAAAGTCGGCGTAAGATAAAAAAAGAAAGAGAAAAAATCCAAACAAACAAAGTTGGATAGAACTTTTATTTTAATTGATAAAGAAATACAACCGGTTTCATCGGTGTTTATCGGCTTTTTAACACCGGTAATTATAAGACAAAATATGGGGTCTCACCAACGCTATATTTTCAAGTGGAGATTTCTTACGCTGCTGATTTTCATATATCGCTGTTCTATTTTGCACGATCCAACTATTGTCGCTAATGTATAAATATTGTTAAACAAGAGAAATAATAATAAAAAATGATCCCCATTATTATTCAAGACTTTCAATAGTTAACAATTAAGTGTCAGACTGGATTGCATTCTGTTTAAAATTAGTGTTCGATTAATCATTATTCAAACCCCACATGTCAGTTGAAAATGACGTCAATCTGGTGCCTTTATGAATGAGTTGCATTCTTAAAATGACTTCATTACGCTACGTACGAATTGGGGACGATTAAATACAAAAATAAACAACTGATATAGATATTTCAAACCTGTGGCGTTAGTGCATGTTATGTGTTATTTTAGAATTATATGAAAAGAAAACATAATAATACCGGAAAAGATTAATAAAAAGCGTTATGTGTATTGCCTTGTAAAGGCTTTGCAAATTATCTTATCTGATGGCGAAGAAATAACATGTACGTATACATGTAGTACATAACCAGCGTTTTTTTGGCATTTTTACAGCGGTTTTTCTTTTTCTTTGTTTATTGTGATGAAATATCGGGGAATGATAGAATGTTATATAGATGTGTGGTAAAATATGCATTTTAGTTAAGGTTGTATTCGTCTTTTTATACATCGCTAATATAAGGAACTATGTTTTTATTTGATGTACTTCTGACAGCTTGGTCTATAAAAGTGATATAATATGATAAAAAAGACGTGAGTTACTCAAATTTTATAAGATCTACAAGAACTGTCTCCATGGCAAAACATTGAACTCTTATTACAACAGGACAAGTTTAAGTGAACAAATTAAAAGATAAAGATCCATGTAGTACAAGTAGAATTACAGAAATTAGGCAAATGTTACTTTTGTAACCATCATGAAAAATAAACAGTCAATCTAGCAATCTTTTCACGATTTACTTATCAACACACACTCTCTGTAAGAATTGCAAGCGATAATTTCAGATTCAAAGGACACTGCAAATACAGTTTCTATCGGAGTACCAAATCCCCGTTTTCGTGTTTTGCATATAAATAGTTGCAGTACAATATATACACTAACCATCTTACAGTTTCAATAATCATAAGTTCTTTTAAAAGCATTCTGTCTTTCATGCAACATATCAATTACCAATTTGGAATTGTAGTGAACAATTTGGAACAGTTTTAGGTTTATTTCCTGTGATACAACCAACTTTAAAATGATTCACATTTTGTTAAAATCTTGCAATCAATAAATGAAAATCCAGTTTTTTAAGTAAAACAAAACACATACACTTTAGTACATTATTTTTTCAATTTTAGTTTTCAAAGTATTGTCAATCAATCTAGATTTAGCTTTCTACGCCTGCCAAATTTTTCCTTTTATATCTGATTTTTTCGCTTCACACATTTTCTGATATCTCAATTATCAGATCTTTGCATAGCAGTGTGTTGAATTCCATCAGATTTGCAAGGCGGTTGAAAGCTTTGTTTGAATACTGAAATTTGTTGTTGCATACGTTTTATCCGGATCGTCAAACACATCAAAGTCGCCGTATTCTAATTCTTCCGGTGTCACCCTAGGAATGCCTGAAGAAGAATTTTTATGTTTCATTTACTCATTAATTTGTCTGGCGATGAATTAAATACTTAAACTCACGGGACAGTCTAAAAACAACTTTTAAAAACAATTTGTCGGAATGAGTTATGTGGATATCATACAATATAACCTATGCACAAAAAATATCATATTAGAACCTTCTAGCTTTACATGCAGAGTAAACATCATGCAGCTTTCATGTGTTATATTCTAGTTACCAGGGACACAAAGATATATACACAAGATGGACTATTTCTCAGTATTTGTTAATCATTTAAACATTTACTTCAGCTATGTAGTACTATTTCAGTAATAAATTTCACTTACTCAGCATTTTTTCAAGCGGTCAATAAAATGAATTATTATCAAACATCAGTAAGTCTAAGCCATGAAAAATACTCCATTATAAGTTAATATACAATGATCTACTTTACCTGGAAATTTAAACTTTCTGAATTGATTGTTGTAGAGAATGAAATGCATGACAATCGGGCAATTTGGGTAATCAGGGTTTTCAATCACATAACATTCCTTGAATCCTTCCCGATCTTTCACCGTTGGGTCAATCTCAGGGAATGGGAATTTATTCAGTTTTGCCCACTCGGCGGCCAGCACAAGTTTCTAAAATAATAATAATAATAATAATAATAATAATAATAATAATAATAATATTGATAATGATGTTGATGTTGATGTTGGTGATTATATCTATATTAAAGTCTCATCCATACATAACAACATATAAAATAGTCAAATCACATAATTATACAAGATAAAATTTGTTTGTGTACGGCCATTCTATTCTGAATGAGAAGAAACTTAAATAAACATAGTGGAAGGGAGCTAACTCCTAAGCTCATACTGCAAGCATTTCAAATATAACTTACAGAGTTACTTGTAGCTCTCTCCCCATTCAATATTCTTATACATCAGTAAGAAACTATTGCTTATCTTATTGTAAAGGAATTACTGGTATTATAACTTAATAATGAACACCCTAGCAACAGTCAGGCGCAATATTCAAACATTAAACAAAGGGAAGAAAAAAGGTCACAAATATTTAGAACCAGTCTTTTTTTTAAAGTTGATCGTAAAAAGTTGCTGATTATTAAATATATAATTCAGAATAAAGTTATACAAAAACTACATTATGCTTTGAGTAAGTTTAAAATGACAAATTGCAAAAGGCTTGTGTTTTCATACTTAATGTTTTGTAAACCTTGTATATCGTTTCTTTAAAGATGCTATTAAAGATGTACTAAGCTCATCTTTTAGTTAGATATTTATATGCAGAAATCTGTTATAGTCTAGAATTTTCTTACTTTGCATAAGAAAATGCACAAGCTGCATTCCCTACTACGGGTCAAGTTAAGTTGGTCATTTCTTAAGAAAAAAACTGGCAGTTTTTTAATGACACTTTGTATTTATACTGTGTTTAACTATAATGTATGGAGTTTAAAACTCAAAATATATACTTTGTGTGATCTTAAAACATGTTTATTTTACATTTACTAAAAGAGTGTGTAGAAAATAATAATATTTCTAAATATCAGATTTAAGCATTAGACATATTTTAAGGGATTTTGACATTTGGTGTAGGTCTGGACTCATAGCTTGTGTGCAAAATTTCAGATCATTCCCTTTTTCCATTTTCCTAAATGCAAGTGATCAAAAATCGATTTTCGACTAACTCGTGAGCATATTTCTTTATTATCTTTAGCAAAATTTTAAGTTAATTACTTGGTCTATGCAAGTATTATTTTTTTTATGTTTTAAGGCTCTGAGTTGAGTTCCTGAACGAAATATAATAATCTGTTCATAGCTTTTGAATATGATAATTGTATTTTTTTATCAGGAAACAACGCGCTAAATTATTATTTGTTTAAAATTTCGCCTAGTTATATGTACGAACAATTTTATATGATAGTAGGATTTCTAGCGGATTTGCTTTGTCACTTTTTCTACTGCTGAATTCAAGTGACAGGATTAGATCAACTTGTCGCTCTGGCCGCAGTATAAGTGGATATGGAGAGTTGAAGGCCAGACCAGCGTCCACTAGATACATCTTTCTGTATTCAATCGGGTACATGTCAAATATTTCATCAAACTGCCCCTCGGCTTAAATTGATCAGTATAGAGACATACTCAGTCGAATATACCAAGAAAGGTCAAATATAACTCGACTCTTTTCACAAATATGCCACGTTTGTTAATGTTACATCTTTTACAAGGAAATCATAAAGAAAATGATTCGAAACCATGTACGAGGGACATTCGAAATATATTGCTTATTTCTATCTGGAGACTTCAAATGTCAAGTTAGCTCAAAAGTGTTCATTTTATGCCCTCGAAGTACTCCCCGTGGCTAGAAATGCAACGTTTCAGCCGATGTATCCACTTCTTGAAGGCGTCACGGTACGCTGATTTGGGCACAGTAATAAGGTACTGATAAATGGCAGATCCAAGTGCCTGTCGGGCAAGGAAGAATTTCAATTTTGGAAACAAAAAGAAATCATATGGGGCAAGGTTTGGAGAATACGGGGGAATAGGCAAAACAGTTACTTTTTCTTTTTTTTCAAAAACGCCGAAGCTATTGCGGAGGTATGAGTGGGGCATTGACATGTAGAAGACGGATATGCTTAAAACCAGTGACAGGGCATCGTTTCTTATAGAAATATTTCAGTTTCTTAAGTACTACTTCCTTGTAGTACTTCCCAGTGATACTTTTGTCCTTTTCACCGGCACTTTTATTGCGACTCATTCACCAGAGAAGAAAATTGCATACAAAACCTTCTTTGCACTCAAAAGCCGTTTGGCAATTATTGGGAATTTGTTTTGTTTAGTGGCCCGGATTTTGTTGCTAACTTTTCTGACGGGCTCAAAATAATGGACCCAAGTTATGGCCAACTGTTTTTTGTCATATTTTGGAAAAACATTTGAAGCAGCTTTTTGTTGCCTCTTTTGCTCATCGGTCAACAGATGTGACACCCATCTAGCAAAAATATTTCTGACTTTCAAATGCTTCTTCAAAATAAAGTGAACGTTGATAGTGATATGCCTTCCTTTAGTGCAATATCACAAACTGTAAATCTGGCATCTCCTTCAATGATATCCTTTATTTTGGAAACGATTTCGTTAAGAGATGCAGATTTTGGCCTACCTGATTTTGATGCATTTTTGATGCACTTTGCACCAGACTAAAATTTCTTTTTCCATCGCCTAACTGTGTCATAAGACACACAAGAAGGCCCATAAGCAGTAGAGAGTTCAGTCATCAACTGCTTAAAAAGCAACCCAGTTTTGAGCGAGCTTTGATGTAAACCCGTATTTCATCTTTTTTGTCGAAACTTCTACCAACCATTTTTACTACAGTGGTCAATGACTGCGTGTATTTAAATGGCAAATTGCATGTCTTACACTTAGTCTAACATGTACATTTATGCACCGTTGTGTAGGTATTGAATAACCCTATACATGTATGTATTGGTTTTTATCGTGTCTCACGTGGATCAGTGAAAGGAAAGCATTTCACTTTTCACTGTTTTATTTAAAAAAAATGTTGCATTAAGATCAATGAAAGCCCATCAACCTCAAATAATCGTCCTTTAATTTTTTCTTGGATTCTGGTGCACAATTTGATTTTGTTAGCTAAATTTCTGAGATTCAAAGCTTTAAAGTATCACGAAGCATTTCAGAGTGTTTGGCGGGGTAAAAGTTGCCAAGATAAAATCATCACACAATTTATAGTTGTATTTTTCTCTGGTTTATTGATAGACATTTAGATTTTTTACTACATTTATTATTTTGTATACAAACTTTCATGAATAAGTAATAGTGTACGATGCCATTCCTAGACAGAGAATCCCCAGGCATACAAATTCTTACTTGTTTCAGTTGATGAGAACTTCGGCAGTAACCCCCTCGTTGCAGTCAACATCGGCGTCGCAGTCAACATCGGCGTCGCAGTCAACATCAGTGCCAAAGGATCAATTTAAATCACCAATGATATATTGACGCGTATGTAGTTAAAATAAAGATCATAGTTAGCAAAATTGGATATTTCTGAAATCGAAATCAGCGTGAATATTGCACAAAAGGATGGAAATTAAGGGGAACATTCTTTCCTTAGACTTGACCATCATTTATATGAAAATTAGCGAAGTTTGCATGTCTTTGTTAATTGCTTGATAAACAACTTAAGCAAATATTAATATTCACTTTTTTATATCAAACTTTACTTATCTTTAATAACAAATTTATTGGTGATTAATATATTTATGTATTTAGTGCTTGAAATGTTCACTGTGCAGGGCACAGTAAAATTAATATAACTATTTGTAATTAATTTTGTATTGATGATTTTATTTCTTTGTTTAAAAAGAGCATATAAAATATAATGGTATTTTATTTACAGATAGAACCACCGCCGTTGAATAATTCATTCACGATTCACAAACAACATAAAGCATGCAACATTTTAACTGACACAAAGGTTACCGCATTTTAAACATAACCAAATATATATCATACTTACTTGACTCATCTATCGGATGGTATTCTTGTAATACTAAACCACGCATGTAGTTAAACACAACTGCTGCCCTTCCTTGGATATTGTTTACAAGTGAATCAATACCAAAGAAATCATAAAATATTTTGAAAATACTTTTTTGCTTTTCCTTGTCTTTCTCCGCTTTCTTTTCATCTATAGCGTTGGTACTCTCTTCATCGTCTCTACTTTCATCATCATTTTCGGCAAGTGTTGCTAGTTCTTCAGCTAATTCTTTATCTGTACAATGCAAAGGAATTTGAATTAATTTCATTATATTTTCTAAGCAACAGAAACAACAATTAAAACAACAAGCAAACAGTAAAAGGTAAGATTTTCAGAATTCTTAAAAAAAAAAACAACTCTGTGTGTAAAGAAACGATTTTGTGAAATGTACAAAATAAAATACACCACAGATGCAAATTTACTTCAAAGTAATCTATAAATGGAGTAAAGTGTTGGGACAGCTTATACCACAAGTTAGTTCAGACAACAACAGTGATGAATTAAAGAAGAAATAAAAAGATGAGAGATAGTAAAAGTGCTTTTAAAAAACTTTCCAATTAACAATTTATACCGTATCATTATGGATAAAGAGAATAATTAATTATGAGGTTCTTTACCCAACTTCAAACCGAAATAGAAATAAAAAACTACCAAGTTCTTCTCGTTCCTCATCTTTATTGTCCTCTGGGCTTATGCCAACAAAACGATTGGCCAAAATACAATGTGCACTCCCCCAAAGACCTGCAAATGTGAACCTAAATTAATGCAATCATCAATCAGCTATATACTGTAACAGTAGACATGTGTGAATATTTTAGTGCATCTTCTGATTCGCATAAACAATTCACTAGTGAAAAATGCTAGCAATGACATGTCTTGCCGGTGTCAAGGTACGTTAACGATGCCTTGAATAAACCACTTATTTAATAATGAGAAGAACGATGTGTTGTGTTTACGGTATTGTAAGAACACGCGCTGGGAGATTGAACCACTTTAAGAAGGCACTGATTGTCAAGAATTTAAAACAAAATTATAAAAATTTCTTATATTTTACCTTGGAAAAAATGCAGTGGTGACTCATCGTATTTTGTTATTAGCCGCCCTTGGAAGAATTTGCTTCCAAACAATTCTGGTCGCATAAATGTGCTATACTTTGACATGCCTATAAGGAAAGGACTGAACTCTACCCATTCTGAAAATATATATTAATTTTAATGATTATTTAAAGAAGGTAACACATGAATATATTCTATCGTAGAAAACAAATAACATACTAGTATTTTAATTTTTAATGTGGCCTTCTAAACAATACATAGATACACAAACACAAAAAACATCATAAAACAATAACAATTACTGAGTAAGATTGTGTCTTATAGAACCTTTTTGACAAACGCTCTTTATTATATCAAATATCATTTATACAATTTTCATTTCCAAATATTTTAACAAATATACATACATAATAAGTATCATAACATAATGAGATAACGACAGAAATATGAATATATTTATTTGATCTGCAAGATATGTTTTTATACTTATTTTTAAAAGATTTCAGAGAATTAGAAGAACGTTTATTAGATAGTATTCTATTCCAAATCTTTGCACCGTCAAAGCTTTACGTGAAAATATTATAAGAGCAATATCCAAAAATTACATGCATGGATATGATTCGATGACCATGTATGCTTTAATTATGACCCAACCAATTAACTAGATCAAGTATAATAATTCAAGCCTGCATATAGTTAAAAAGCAAAGTGTCATTCATTGTATTCATATTAGACACCTAGAGTTTTCTTAGTGAAAGAGGGTAAAACAGAATCCCTAAGAACGTAACGTCTAGAACGACAAATTTGAAAATGCTTTAGGCTCGGTTTGATTGAGACTGTTCATGGAAGGTACTGATAAGTGCAAGCTACAGTCCACGTCCCCCACTAGCACCGGCTTAAACAAATTCAACATTTAAACATAAAATGGTGAAAGTTTGAAACATCCACAGATGTGTTCATATGGCGGTAATCATGGAACCATCAATGTTATACGTTCATACATATCAGTGATGAGCGGCGTAAGGTCCCCAAATAAAAGAATTCTGGTGCCCTAAACGAGGAAACAATGGACGGAACTAAATGAAAGTGAATTTTGAAAGGGGATCTGAGGTTATAAAGCCTGCATATCACAGATAATACGTCAAAAGTCAAATTAAAAAGCAGGCAACATATCTTAAGGGTGATTATTCAGTATTCAGGTAGTAATACTGGAACAACCTAACTTGAAAAGGTTGGAATAGAAGGAACTTAGAAAAATAACATATTTTTCATAAACTAGTTTATGCATATATCTGAAGTGTGAGTTGATGATATTCTTCTGATTGATCATTGCATGTCTAAAAACCACGAATATACATATATAATACTGTCAAAGTACGTATATACCGTGAAAGACCTTAGCCGATGTCGTAGTTTTTACGTGAACACCTGCGTACAAAGGTATAGGAACCAATCCATCCTTTAACGTTTCTCTCTGATCTGTCAGTTTCGAATCCATTCTCTAGCCAAAATCAAAGATATATACTTTTGTATGCATAGTTGATAAAATACTTCAATGTCAAACGACTACATATAGTGAATATTTACTTATTTTAGTATAGCATTATTTACTTTATTTTTTTTAAAATATCACTGCATTTTCAAAGATTTCAGGACATAAGATATTCAAGATAAAATATAAACATTGAAATCTTCTATCGAGACCTAGCAATAATTATATTCTTGTATCAAAGTTACAGAACAAAAATATTCCGAATGTAAGCTCTAATTTCTTTGTCCCTAAAATGGTCAAATTCATCTTAAACATTCACTTCATTTTAAGAAGACATTCATAAAACACAAAACAATCCCATTTAAGATATGTAATAATAAATATAATTCATACTCCTCTGAGGAGTGCCTCGCCGACCATAAAACCGTAGACATCCGTGAAGCTGAAAGGTTGCCCACTTGCCTTTGCCGATCTCACGTCTGACATACACTTTATCCAATTCAAAGGATTAAACACGATCCACCTAGGACTGGATTCAATACTGTCACCTAGCTCTTTGCGAAGCTCACGTGGAGATTTCTTAGGATAGTCAGGATGGGAGTAGAGAGTCGAAAGGTACCTGATTTTCCAAAACGACGCATATGCGAAATATATAAATACAGTGTTATAAGGAATCTAAAAAATTGCGACGAGTTTATTCCAAAGGAGTTGTGACGTTTTACTAGATTGGCCTGGAGGTTTGCATGAGTCAAACTTTTGATTATTTCAGTTGTTTTATTTTGCTTTATTTTCGCGTAACCGTATGTTTACATTATGAATATCAGAGAGATTCTGCATACATGTACGAGAAGGTGTTTGTGTGTCGGTGGGGGGGGGGAGATTGCATAACCACCTACCCCCCTCTGAATCCGCGCATGTCTAAGCGCTTATTCAAATTAATAAGCGCTTGTTTTAATTAATAAGTTAATATTATGGTGGCTGATTTATGCCATGGCGAAAATACGACAGATGGATTGCGAATATACAACAGTTTTTATGTGTCGTATTTTCGCCCTCCTTCTGATATATCTTGCTTTTTTTTGCCTTGAAGAATAAAAAAAAGCAAAAACACGAAGAGGCGACAAAGTCCAATTTTGTCATTTCTTCATGTTTTAGCATGTTCGAATTTTGAGGCGAAGAAGCGAAAATACGACATGACGTTAATCAGCCATCATATAGTATTGAATGTATCTAAGTATAAATAGAAATTAAAAGGTTATTTACCCTAGTAGTATTAAAAAAAACAAATAACATGTTATACAGAATACCGTCATGTAATTAACTATAATTTATTGAATGGTTGTTTGATTACATTAATTATTCGCATAGCTCAATCAGTTAAGTCGCGAAACTTGTAATCTCGACATTGTGGGTTCGATTTTCTGGCTGGCCAATTAAAATAACAAATTAGTCTTTCGGATGAGACTTTAACTCGAGGTCCCTTGTGATGTATCATCATACATAATGAACTTGAACTGACCATATCGGGATGATTTCTCGACTGTAAATGACATAATTTTCCGCCGTCAAACATTGGTCATTCCAAGTTCATTGCGAACTGAAATGATTAACGCTGTTCATGAAGGTCATATAGGAGTGGCTTAAACGCTGAACATGGCCAAGCATATTATGTTCTGGCCAGACATGGTCAAACAGGCCAAAGACCACATGTTAGCATACCCTTTATGTCTAACACACAGAGCATCAAATGTGAAGTAACCATTAAATCCCCACACTGTGCCCCAAAGACCCTGGCAACATATTGCCGTTGACTTATTTACACTTGACGGACGTGATTACCTTATAACTGCGGACGTCTACAGTAATTACTTCGAAGTCGATGCATTGCCAGACACAAAATTACAGTAAAACTGTAATTTGAAAATTAACAATGCATATGACTCGCTATGGTCAAGTAAAAACATTGAAAAGCGATAATGGGCAACAGTTTAGCTCAGAAGAATTTCAAAAATTTGCTTCTGACTGGAATTTTAAGCATGTAACATTTTCACCTGGATATAGTCAATCCAATGGTTTCATAGAAAAAATGGTCTCAATAGCCAAACAAAAACAACAAAAAAAACAATGAAAAATGCCACGAGACCAACACAGACCCATATTTAGCATGTCTGGATTATCGTAACACACCTTTAAACCGCGGCTATTCCCCCGCACAACTGTTAAAATTCATTTTGCTTACAACTAATAAGCAATTGAAACCATTATTCATTAACCACAAATCTGTAAGAAAATCTCTGCAAGAAAACAAGGTTACGCAAAAGAACTATTACGATAAGAGTTCGAGGACACTTCACCCGCTACACAGGGAGTAATTTTGGAAAACTTGGAAACCAGCCATAGTTCTAAAAAAAGAAGGGGAGAGATCATACAAAGTGCAGACTGAAGATGGCGCTTTTTACCGCCGTAATCGCCGTTTCATAAACAAAACGCGGGTTAAGTTACCTATCAATACAAAGTCCTTCCCTAATATTCTCCACCAAGGTCAAGAGCCTCATAATGAAATCTCAAACAAAGCACCTTTAAATGATACAGGTATTTCCCAGAATCTTCAAAATCCTACTAGTCATGAAACCAGGTCAGACACAGGTTATCAGACGCGCAGTGGTCGAGTAGTAAAACCTAATAGTCGTTACAATACCGATGAATGGAGCACTGTTATTTAATCATCCGGAATTGATAGACATTACCTAAAGAAGATCTAAAGAAAACAGAGAGAGAGAGAGAACAGAAATAAAATAATACGAGTAATAAAAAATGTGACTTTAAGATTATTTAAATTGTTCTCTTCAGTATGTATATGCAGTTTTAATCATCATCATTGCTTATTATCATATACATTTTTATTAACATGTGTTGCTTATTTTTTTAAAAACAGGGAGATGTAGTATCATCATTCATGATGAACTTGAACTGACCGTATGTATAATGCTTCTTTGCGCATGTCCCGTATTTCTAGTAAATATTTAAGGTCACATGTTAAGGTTTAGTCAGAATAAATTTATATCTTGTGCTGAACACTAGTCGTGTTTTATTTTACTTCATTATATCAACGCACTTGATTTAATTTCTATTAATTATTGTTCATTAATAAACGAACATTACAACACCGTGTATGAATGCTTAAACACTTGGCACGGTAAAGAACCAGGAGAAGCATCTGATATTTGGGCACTTTTCTGTATCTGATCTTGCACTATCCTCCAAAAATCAAAAATGACTAATACTCTTCTGGAAAACTTGCCCACATGGGTAACCGGTGGCTAGTATAAATAAACTCAAATGAACACATTAATACATTCTACACTTTTGTTATGAGTTCATCTTTGTACGCTTTATATGAAGACAACAACAATCAAAAACAGTAATCTCTAAAATAATCTCTCAATAAAAATAATGTCCCTTACCAAGCTGAGCCGGAGAGACCCAAGTTATACATAACCATATCTGCAATTTTAGAGTCCACCAGGGCACCCATTGCTCCAGAATATGCTGTCATTGCACGGAAACCACCACCAGATCCCATTACAGCTATTGTTGGAACCTGTAAGTGTAAAACATACAATAATGATTCGACTTACATGTGCAACAAGTTTGCCTAGAGATGTATGTTTATGAGAAACTATCATTTGCATAGCTTTAATAAAGCCTTTAACGACCTAGATCTTCGTCCCAGACACATATTAGACACAATTTGAAATGAAATTGTATTTTAAGTAATACCTTTATGACATAAAAACATCCAAAAACAAAACTGCGTAAAATCATAGGTTTACTACCTCGTTTGGTGTTTTTGGAGCGTCTTTTCCTAACATTTCTTGCATCACTCGATAAGCTCTTTCTTTCCTTTTTTCCAGAAAGGTCTTTTCTTCTTCGCATAGTTCTTGTCCGCAGTATATATCAAGGTCCGAGCTTTTATTATAAACAAAGACCTCTTTATAAAGTAGTAAAAAGGCGTTTCACTTGAACTTACAGATTTAAAATAATATTCTTAGAGCTCTTTATTTTAGTTATTTGATAAATGTTAAATATAAACATGTCTTGTTTTTACACAGAGAAATGTATGTAGCTGTCTGAGTGACCAAAGAAATGATTATAAAAAATATTGATATTAAAAACAGAATCAGTCAGTCAGTCAGTCAGGCAGTCATATCAAGTCAAGTCAATTGTCAAGTCAAGTGTCAAGTGTCAAGTTAGGTCAAGTCAAGTCAAATCCATCCATCCATCCATCCATCCATCCATCCATCCATCCATCAAATCAAATCAAATCAATCAAATGAATCATGAAAAAAAAAAAAGAAATAAAAAAGATATATATTTAATTTAATAAAATGAAATAAAAAAATTAAACCAATCACGTGTTGTATTCTGCCCACATCTCTATGTCAATTTTCGAACTCTGAAAACATATAATTTGTAATTTGTAAATACAATATTACATATAATTTGATAATACAATATGACTTTGTATATGTACGAGGGATGTCCGGAAAGTTCATATACTTCTTCATTTTTTATACTATAACAATACATATGTTGTACAAATTTTGTCAGCACAATTATACATTTCTAGCTAACACATTTATAAAAGATTACTGAACTGTGAGTTACATTTGTATTTTAACAGTAGTTATATACAACATATATACATCGTCATGGAGCTCTTTGACAACGTCAACGGCATCAAATTAACTTCCCGTTTACAGATTATTCAATTTCTTCCGTTTTCAACAGCCATGGTACCTGTATGGTGTATACTTAATACATGTTTGTTTCTTTGCCATTACTTTATGAATTTCATATACTAAAATTAATTTAAAAACAAAGATGTCACTGGTTCCAATACAGTGTGTGTGAGATGTCTGTCTTTTCCAAAGAATTTTATAACGCAATCTACGATATTTTGGCCATGCTACTTATGGTCGTCTGGAGCGCTCTTTTACCTAATTCTGTCATTCCCGCTTCTTAATCTTGTTTGACATTTAAACACAAGTTGTCTTGAACAATTTATGGCTGAATTTGTTTTTAAAGTAACGGCTAAAATCTCAGTTGGTCCCATATTAGAGTTGCTATGAAGTTAAATAACATTACTTTGCTCCGTCCTTGAATTTGACGTCATTTTGCAACACAAAATTTACGCACCTTCATTGCCTAAAACCGTCGTTAACAAGCTGTTTATTTACGTATGACGTCATAATTTTCACAAAATATCATGCAATTGTATCATTTGATGTCGCAAAATTAAAACGAGAGTTTGCGTAAAAAATACATCTTTTAGCAACTTATTATTCAAGTAGCTATCGTCATGAAATCAAAGTGCTCCGTGATTCGTTGATCATGTTGCCATGGTGATTGGCGCTTTGCGAATATTACTTTTATCATGTTTTTTAATTTAAAAATATGTAGCATATAAATACTTTAGCAAAATATTCAATCATCATATTGATATGACTGCTTATAATAATTTTATAGCCTTGTCTACGAACTTTCCGGACAGCCCTCGTATAGATATGGAAATACCAGAGTCTCTGTTGACATTACATACATTTATATAATTTGTTGCATGAAAAGACAGACATAATATTATTTTAGCACCTAATCTTTTAATCTGGTTGTCCCTTTTTGTGTATAGTTTAGTGAGTAGAAAATTCTTCATTTTATTTTTGAATCCAGCAAACTCGGTGCAATTGCATATAAGGATTCATGTGGTTATATTTATAATAGATACAATATTTTATAAATTTAGTTATATATATTTATACAATATTCTAACAACTCATCCGTGTCATAGTTGGCAGGCACACAATCCTATGCCTATATAACGTTTAGCAGACACTTTGTACGAACAATAAATATTGAAAAGAATTATGGTTTTATTCCTACGGAAGCACAGAGGGGACATTCCGATGTTATTTTATTTTATGTCGTCGCCTAGGATATAATTCAGAAAAAAATCGTTTATTTAAGAAGAAATTGAATAAGAAAAAGTTTATTCATTTACACCGAACCAATGATTAGTGTATAATTACTATAGGATGGTTAGCTGAATATCGAAGTGAATGGATCTGACTAATGCGAAATTCATGTCACGGTACTGAACTTTTCCCTTATTGTGGTAGATAGTGTGTAAGGTGCCGGACAGCTAAGTTGGTAGAGCTTCGGTTCGGTATTCCAAAGGTCCAAGGTTCGAGTTTCGGTCAGGTAGCCCATTTTTCTTACCCTGTGACATCATCTAGAGTCAAAGTCAGTGTCACTTCCTACTTACCGCCAATCGCAACACCTAATTAATTGGTAGTCATAGAATAATTATTCAAAATTACCTCATTGAAGTTAATGGTCATCTCTTGTTTGCGTTCAATCAAATCATTTAAATTAGGTATCTTAATCATCTGAGTGGAGAGAATATCATCAGATATGTAATCCGAGTCCATTAAAGTTAATTCTGAAAATTATATTCCAAAAAAATAAAATAAAATAGATAAGAAACATGTTTGTCTTATTCTTATTAAAGTAAATTCATAACGTTAAACATACAATTATAGAAAGAAATGCAGAATTAAAATCTAAAAATAAAGCAATGTGTGAAGAGGGAATGATTTACAATATAAAACACACCATGTTGATCAATGTAACGATTAAGGTCCTCGCTGTCAATATAAGATAAGATAATATGATAGAATAAAATATAAATATATGATGAGATAACATGATAATAAATATTAAGATTATTAAATATAAGATATCATGCCATGTCATAAGATAACGTTATATAAGATGAGATAACATGTCATAAAATAGGATTACATGATTACATGATTTCTTACATACATGACATTAGATAACATAGTATAAGATCAGATAACATGATATTCATGTAGAAAAAAATATATAACATGATTAGATAAAATTAGATAAAAGATGAAATAATATCTGATGTTGATGAGATAAAAAGAATATATAAGGTAACAATAAGATAATATCAAATATGGCAAGACATTGTCACCGTATAACATATAACAATTAGATAACATCAAATAAGGTAAGAACTATGTCACCGTATAACATATTACAGTAAGATAATATCAAATAAGGTAAGAAATTTGCCGCCGTATAACATATAACAATAAGATAATATTAAATAAGGTAAGGATATATTAAATAAGGTAGGAATTTTGTCACCGTATAACATTTAACAATAAGATAATAATAAAACAATCTGGAAACAAAGTGATCCCTCGGAAGCATTAATCACCATTATTCACCATTAATTAATTAATCACCCATTACTACATGAGCATTTTGTGAAAATTGGCAGTTTTTATTGAAAAGCCTCCTGTAACAAGATCAAATAGCTATGAAACTAGAAAAGATGCTTCAATAGTCATCAAAATTTGCACAAATGTTGAAGACGTTTATATTTTGAAGTAATGGGTTAAATAAGAATTTGTCACCGCATAACATATAACAATTAATTATCATGCCATTATATTTCAAGTATTTTACGAGGATTATTCTTTTTTTTTCAACTGCTCGCAAATGTTTACCCATATTGTTTCCTTCAACGTATTTGAGGAAGAATTTGAAAGTCTCGTTCCAGATCGGTTCGTTTTTATTCTCGCAAGATTTGGTTTGTCTCTTAGGATTTGGAGCTCTTCTGACTTTTAGCTTAACGTACGTGTCCGGAGTATCCACTGAAATAAAATGTTTCGTGCGCTTTAGAAAATATAATTATAAAATACTGAACGTTTATTGACAACAAAACTTTAAACCTTCGAATTTAAAATGGATGTTTTACAACTGATACGAAAAATGCAAGTATTTATTTTTGATGCTTACAAGTTTTTTCTCTTTAAAATTGAATTTCAGAGGTTAACGATATGAGAAAAATGTTTACCACATGACCATATCTTATATCTTGTTAATAATTGCATGTATTTCATTTAACAATCCTTTTTGCTAAAGCCCTCACATTTTATTAAATCCCTCGTCCTGATAGCTCTTACTTAAAATGCGTCCTTGAAATTATGCAGATGTTTATGTATGCAAAAATGTGTCCCGAACGTGTGGCTTTCTTTTGATATGCATGCATGCATAAATAAATAACTTACTCATATCTGACCAGCGTCCTTTTGTCACGTGACCCCTGACAATCTTGACGTTCAAAACGTAACATGGTACTTTTACAACCTGCATCAATATATTGTCGAAACAGATAAGTAAAACAAATATTCTAAGAGTTTTCTGTAATGTTTATTTTAAAGTTGAAAATGTAACAAACTTTTTATATTTCTAAAGAATTATGCAGTCCTTACTTGAAAGATAACACACCTTATCCGAAACCCTGATTGAAAGGCTATGTTGTCTGTCAATCATATCAGTAAATATTTAAACCTTCATATCTGATTTTATGCCCAAAAATACATTTTTTCTTTAGATATTCAAATTAAAAATGAAAATGATTTTCTTTTAATGAGTTTGGACCATTATGAAAACGCGTTTAAAAATTACTTTAAAAACACATGCCCCTCTTTTAATATCGGAAATTGCTACCTATAAATTATAGTTTATAATTGACTGATTTTGGGGTATCTAAATGAATAAGAATATTATAGTCTTAAAAATAGAACCTAGACAAACTATGAAGGTATTAATATGATAATATTATTGTAAGAATAATTTTACTTACCTCATAGACTCCAACCGGACCTGATTCTTTCTTACTATATTGTAAAAAAGTAGTACACTGATTATATGAACGAATATATACACATAAAACTAGTGTTGGGTATCGGGCTCAAAAATCACTATCGATAATCGGACCACCACAATCGATTGTCTGCCGATAGTATAATCGAGTTTTGCATTTTTTATGGCCCTTTTTTCTGTTAAGGTACCAATCCTATTATGTATTTTTTATACAGTAGTGACCACATTTTGAGAATAAATAAACTCTTGTCATCAAGATTAAAGTAAGATTTACTCTTTGAATTCAAAACAAACAACACAAACTTTGTAACAGGCAATTTTTGTATTACACAACTTTATGGCAGTCAATATTAGTACAAATGTACTAGTCAACAGGTCAAAATATTGTAGATCACTAATTTAACTACAGTAGGTATGTAAGTTTATAATATTATGTTATTACACACTAGAATTTTCGAAAGTAGTATTAACAATATAGTATAGGCAATTCAGTGGTGGAAGAACATTCAAATAATCGATTTTTAAAAAGGACTATCGATTGTTGCCGATTTTGGGGTGGTCCGATTAGTTATCGATTTTCAGAGACAATCGGGACATCACTACATAAAACTAATTGGTTATAAGTATAAAAACAACAAAATTACGGAGAAATATTTTCATGTTATATTTTCAGCTTTAGTACGTAATGTCATGTTTATGAAGAGACCAATTATCGAAATAACACAAGCATCAAGTAACATTTAACAAAAGACTATCTGTTTTTCGTTTTATGATGTGTAGTATTAAATAAAATAAAAAAAAATCAAAGTCCAAAAGAAGAACAAAACAAAAGCAGAACAAGAATAGGAAATGAGATTAAAAACAGGGCATTATACAACTAGGCAGAATAATAACAACAACAACAACAACAAAAACAACAACACCAATAACAATAAAAATAATAATAGAAATAGAGAAGTATCAAGAAAAAGAGCAGAATAGTCTATAATAGAAGATAAAGCATAAAAAAGAACAAGACCGGGACAAGGACAAAAAAAACAACAACAAAACAACAACAAAAAAACAACAACAAAAACGTAAGTGTTGAAGAAGAACAAGAAAAAGCGTTAATCTAAAAAACAACAAAAAAACCTCAACAAAAAAACACAAAAAAAAACACAACATTTCATGTACTGAAAGTGATAGTGTCTGCGATATAAAGGTCGGTTTATAATATTTAGTCAGGTATTTTTTTTAATACGATAACAGGTTTTATGCATGAAGTGAGGGGAAGTTTCTCGATTTAAGGCCCATTATGCCCTAGATTACTTTTATTGCTTTTATCTTTATTTCTCAAAAGATTGTTTGTGTCCTATTATAGTTTTAGTATTTTGTAGGGAAGTGAAAATACTAATTAGTTTAAATTTTGTTGCCTTTAAGACACATTTCTAAAGCATAATGTGCCTTTAAAAGCGAGCATAGCCCTTTGGTTTAAGTTTTACTACTGCTTTTCAAATCGATATCAAATGCATTTATTTAAATGATTTTATCTAATAAAAATGTTAACATACTCATCTGCCATTTTCAGACTTCCTCCTATACAGTCAACGAGTTTTCAAACTTATCTAAAATGAAAAAGACTCCAATAGTATATGTTATATACACCTTTATGATTTTCTTATATTATTAGTTATAAAGATATTTGACAGGTTATATGGCCCTAAATAAACCGTTGTTTGAAAATATAATCCGAGTCGCTAACTGTCATATAACCTATCAGGAATCTTTATAACGAATTTATAATACAGCAATACTTCTTTTTAGAGAAAAAAGTGTAATTTCTTCAGTGGGTCTTTCATCGCAATCATTTTTAAATTGGTTAGTGCAATGGAACCGGAGCGCGGTAACGACGACAAGATGACGTTTCGACGACGACTTTAATTGTTACGTTTAAAGCTCTCGCACGGAGCGCGCATGATCATTTGTCATCTTCAGCTGGTTTCTCAAAATGGAATGAATGCTGCCAGCAAATAACTAACACCTACTTATGATGAAATGTCACTAACAGTCAACTCATGGTCCTCCTCGATCGGACTCTTCACTGCCGCTACTGTACCAGCGTTAACTATGCGTTTCCGTTCCCTACACGTGTCCTGTTTTAAGAACTCGCGACCTTCCCCGAAAATCGTTTAAAATAAAACATATGCTTATATCTAAAGATCGATTAGCATACTTCGTCATTTTTCAACATTTCTGTTGGTGTTTTCCTAGGTCTACACAATATCTGTATTTTTGCACAGTTGGCTTCATGCGTAAGTGCCGCCATTTATATCTTATAATTTCCCCGTACGCCTTATACTTACTAGCTGTATATTCTAAAGTACCTAATGGATGATTTTAAATTTGCAAGACAACAGCAAACAAAAAGACGATGTCAGAAGAAATATTTTCATAAAAAAGATTTCGAATTCTGCTAACACCAGCGATATTAACCGCTGCCGTCCATGAAATTTAATCTGCTAAAATTTTAATTCAGTCATATTTGATAACCTTCAAGGCCTTTTGTTGTGTGTGTGTGTGTGTGTGTGTGTGTGTGCGTGTACGTGCGCGTGCGCGTGTGTGCGTGCGTGTGTGTGTGTGTTTCCCACATAAACCAGGCAAATTTCCACATAAACCAGTCGGTTTATGGAATTGTCTTCTTTTCTAACTAAGATTATGGACGGAATGAAGCTCATAGACGATTGGTCTTTGCCCGGACTGACAGACGGACGGACGTGCCAGCATTTGGGGTTTATGTCCTTTTTCTTTGATGTTAATAAAGCACTTTTCCATATTAACCAGTAAAATTGCCACATAAACCAGTTGGATTATGGGATTTCCTTATTTAACTAAGATTATGGAACGAATGAAGTTCAGGACAATTGGGTATTTGCCCGGACTGACTGACTGACGGACGGACGGACGATAGGACGGAGGTTAAACCTAAAGTCCCCTCCGGTTAAACCGGTAGGTGACTAAAGATCACATATGCATAAGGAAATGGGAGAACTGTATTCGAATCACACTTTGTAAACATTTTCGTAGAGACCCTTACCTCACAGTGTAGTCTATCATTATGAATGGGCACTAAGTAGGGTTCCATTAACCTCATAAAAACGCAATTAAGTGGTATGTGACATTAACATACACGTAATAGCACGTGATTACAGGATGTGACGTTAAGCACAAAGAGTCATGGTTATACAAGTTTGCTTCTTAAAACAAAACATGAGAGATGTCTTTTTTCAGCTGTGGAAGTTTTGTTTAATTGTTCAAATGGTGAGAAAGTAAAAATTTATGATTCTGCGGACAATAACAATATATCGGCTGTATCCGTCAGTCTCCATATAAGCTCTAATAATCGGCGAGATATTCCGAAGTTTAAGGAGCAGCAAAACTTTGGTAGCTTAAGTGTTTACTGTTACTATTTTTCGAGGCATGAAATAGTTTAAACGATTCAAACGACATGAACCACCCTTTATAGCGTTAAAAGTAACGCTATTATTTTCCGATCTTTCCTTTTACCGATTTGTTCACCTCGATTTTAATTTTTCGTTTTAGTAAAGTCGTATTTTGAAACGGAGTATGCGCATTACAACTTTTGTAGACTGGTCCTAATGATTTAGGCTTTAAATGAGATTCATTAACATCAATAATTTATGATACACAAAAATGGATGCCGCTAGCAACCATTCTCAACACTTTGGAGAGTTCGATCTCCTCTCCAATAAACGCTACGTACAAAAGAAAAAGAAAAGTAAGAAAGAAATAAATTTGTGATCCAGTGTTTCGTGCATGCTTAATTTTGTCTGTGTTCCGTACATTGAATATGTATCTTATCGAGAAACATAACATTTAAGCAGAAACAAAAACGTCACACGTACTTGCTCAGAACATGTTTTCGCGGTAGAACTCAAATTTGTAATTGCATGGATATCGCACGCACACACCTTTAAAGTGAACATAGCTGTGTTGACCTCAGTCACTTGACATGCTATATTATGTCATATATATGTTTCAATGAATGTCATATATATGTTTCGATGTTTTGGACATAAAAATAGAATTTATAAAAGCCAAAAGGTGCCACCTTATGATGTTAAGGTCGTAAGAAACTAAAATATTTAGTGTTTTCTTTTTTAATGGCATTTGGGGATTTTAGTCTATAACGTCCATCCGTTTACAAACATTAAATAAAACATTTTAATCTCTCATGAATCAGATCCTACAAGTTTTATGAAATAGAAAATTTTGTTATAAAATTAAACTGTATTACGATATCTATTAGAAATAGGAACATGTAAAGTCATAATATGAATAGGAAATATTTGTAGCCAGTTCAAAAGTACTCGTTTCAATAACAATATATTTTAATCCTGTGTGCTTAAACGCTAATTGTAGATAAAACAAAAGTATTTCTCCATAACAAGTATCAAATTATACTGCATTTTCCATTTTAACATAAAAAGATAGAGTTGAGATGTCAAATTAATACTGATATGCTTGTAACTAATCAATACTGCTAAATCTGATGGGAATCAAACAAACAGTTGTTGTTATCGTTAATTGGCCTAGAATGGA